CTATCTGTATGCCAAGTTTCATAGCTTTGTGTCGGATGATTTAAAGTCTATAGAGGACAAACAAACACACATTTACTTTTATATATATAGATGAGTCGATCGTATGTTTTAGAACGTGTGACGTCATTACGCAGTAAAACGTTTTAATTGGTTTTTACATCAGACACTTTATAAAATATTTCGCTAATGATTAAAAGGGCTATGTTGGTGACAAATAAAAGTTGATTAGATTTAAGTTCCTTTTAATTTAAGTATACATTTTTTAATAAAATATTTAAATTTTTATTTTAAATAAAAATTTGACAAAAAAACTTTCCTCATTGCTGAAAACTCTGAGTATAACAATGGAGCAGTTTTCAATAATTAAAAAATTCATTAATTCCTGTTTTACCGAAGAAGTTGATTTTAGTTTCAATTGATTTCTGAATTTGTTTACAAGTAATTAATTTGGTATGTTATGTTGAGTTCGATGCCGGCTCATTAATGTATTGATCCATAGATCATTTTTGCATCATGCCATTTATAATGTTACTAATGGTTTAATTTTTTTTAAATTAATTTTTGTAATAATCTGCTGTAATTACCGAGTACTTGTAGAGCTGTTTAATGTATTTCTAGAGGTATTCATTTCATTTCATTGTAAATGGTTTGTTGATTCCTTCAGCGATTGTTCTCTATCGGATGATGGATTGTCAAACTTATGTAATTTTTTTCAACTAAATTTTAATTTCTTATTTTTCTTTCACGTGTAATTGAATTTTACAGGTTTTAAAAAGGAGTAACAATCGGCGTGAACGAATATTAATTGAGCAGAAGGGGGGGAGTGAAACAGGTGACAACCTTCGACCTCTAACATAACCTACTAGAAGGTGGTTATGCCTCTAAACACACCTGGACAAAACAAATACCTCCAAGAAAAGAGAAGGCCTCGCGATGAGTTACCATAAACAAGAAATTCGAACTTTTAGTAGTCGAAACGTAATGACATATTTCTTATTTTTCATCCACTGAGCAGTTTATGTACGTTTCGTCGAACTGCTATAGTCCATTCCACCTTAAGTTGGCACTGGAGAGAAAGGTAGGTAGACCGGATTACATGGAAACTGGGTTACTCTTTAAGTCAGTGCGGGGATGAGGTAGCAACAAAGGGAGAGAAAGTGGCCAGTATTGGCGTTTAAGAAAGCAAAACGCCGATTTTTTTTTTTAAACCAAGAATCGTACTAAAATTTTGTACAGAATNTGTTTTAGATCACACTATTTTAATGCCTCTTAAACCAAATAATTTTGGGTTCTAAATGTTACAAACTATTAACTTTTTTCATGTTTTGCAACTGAACAACACAAATAATTAATAACTTTTTGTTCCAAAAACATTAACTAAAATTTAAAAGAGAATGTTATAAATATTATTAAAAAAAAATTATATTATAAATATTGTGATGCCACGATGGGCATTACATATTTCCTAGCTTTTAAAATTTGTTTAATTTCTTAAACTTATTTTTTAAATCATTCTTAACCGAATTTTAATTAAATTAAATCAATTATTTAATTTTCATTAAAATTTATAAAAAGCAAATAGAAAATACTTTATTCTTTTTTTTATTGATCAATGTAACGGCTAACTTTCAATACTAATGTAAAGCTCATTAATTCACTGTCTCCTCTAATCGAAAACAAAAATCTATTGATAACTCTTTATATCTTACCACAAATATGTTTCAGTTGAATGGTTATAGTAATTCTCACAGTCTTTTTAGTGATTCATGATCACCAAAGAATTTTCAAACCTACTATTAGTATCTATATGGTATTTTCTATATATAATATAATATTTAAAATCTAAATCTATAATTATGGAAGGTTGGCTTTATTTTTGGCTATGTTATCTCTCATTAAATCGCCAACCATGGATCTCTTCCCTTGCTCCTAACTGTGCGTTGGGAACAATTCATTCACATTTAATTTCCAAATTTTTGGCAAACAGGGGGTGCCCTTTAGGGCATCCCAGTCCCAACCATTGAATATCAATGTAAAACTAAAATTCTCAATTAAAGAGAATGATTCTTCTTGATCTCTTTAAAGGGTTTTTTCTTTAATTTGAATTATGGCCATTTTTCAATACTTAATAAATCAATTTTGCTTAAGCGATTGTATTTATTTATCTGAGATATTTACCATTATATTATGTTACATCCAAATTAAGATGTATCTGTAACGGCCAAAATAGAATAATGCTACTTGTACAAATCCACTCATGAATTTAAAATGATCACGGCCACCACAAATATTTATTATATATATTTATTATATTATAAATATTTATTACAAAGAACTCATTTTTATAGAATACAAAAATATTATTGACACATAGGAAACTTTCTTTTTTGAAACCAACAATTCTATCATAATTTTCAGCTTTTGTTTTCTTCTTGAAAATTTAATTTTGAAAGAAATTTTTCTTTTTAACTTAGCAGACTGTTTTGGTCTCTCTTAAATGTCTTATTTCTTGTGTAGAACAAGACAACACTTCTGAAAGGACTGCATCTGTGTGCTCACCAAGTATTGGAGGTGGTGATCTAACTTTATTGATACTTTCACTAAATGTCACAGCAGGGCCTGTTTGCAGAACATAAAACAATCTTAGATATAGGCTAAACTGTTTTGGGGGATCCAACAGTTTTAAGCATTACAAAAAATTTAAAGAAATCAATAATTTAAAATTAAAAAGATTATTATTAAGTTTGACAGTCACATTTGAAAACTTACCTATTACCTTTATAGGACCAGCAGTTGAATGTTCCAAGTCAACTACTAATTTTTTATGGATAACCTGAAATGTTTACAAACATTTTAGCCATAAAACCCAAATCAGCTTTGAAACATTTCTATAACATGCAGAAAGCATTTAACTTATAATTATAACTGTCGCTTAACAACCGACTCACTTTTGGGTTTACGATTACTAATGTTCAACTCCATAGCCTTGTAATTTTGAACTCAATCCAGAAATCAAGAGAGCTCCTGGATCAAGTATTGGGAGAAATTTTGCATTTGTGGAAGACTTTTTGATGGAACTAACCAGCGTTTGCGTTACACAGAGTTACTTATTGTTATCATCGCAATTTTATTTTACGACCACTGGAAAAAAACTTCTTAAAAAAGAGCAAGTGCTGGCAATTTAGAAATAAAGTATGATCTATATAGTATAACATCAACAAATAAGCATATTTTTAAAGTTTAATTTACAGATTTTTAACATATTGCAAGCCATGCAAGTATTAGATAATGGAAAAGAAATTCAATATTAGAAGAAGAATAGTTCATGTTAGTACTATAAGCTACTAAATATTTTTTGTTATGGAATTTTGTTCTTTGAATTATCAACTGTTTCGTAACATTTTCGCAATTTTAAAAAATACAGCATTTGCAAATTTCATTGATGGGTGGGTGACATAAAAAGATATTATTATAAGCTAATATTTGTCTCTTTATTTCTGACAAAACTGGCTTGCATGAATCCAGAAATAACAAAGGTGAGTTTTTATAGCAATCGGGATTCTATTTGGTAAGAAATTGCAAAATAGGTTCCTATAATATTATTTAAGAATACTTTTTTTTTATTGCTATAAAAAAAAGTATTCTTAAAAAAAAAAAAAAAAAAGACAGTCAAATCTGTGATGCTTACTAATTTAATTTGTTTTCTAAAAAATAAATAAACAAAAGTCAGAATACGAAATCTTGTAAATGTGCCGAAAATGAACAGATAAAATTTGCCGAATAGTAACAATTTTCATAGAATAGTTTCAATTTTCATGCCGAATAGTTTAGTTTCACATAGACCTTTCATTCCAATGTCCCTGCAGCTATTGCCCTTACAAATTAAACAGGAAGGCGTTTCATTTGACAAGAGAGCACCGCTAGGGTCAAAGTGTCAGTTGGTTCAGAATCCCCCAGATAGATAGCAGCACCACTCAATTGTGAGTCCACTTCCAGAAGTGAGGCATAGATCTGAAGAGGAAGGAAATTTCCCCCTCATCTAAGGACTTTTGATTCCACAGATTTTACAAAAATACATATTGTATGTACTTAGTGGGCCCCGGCAGTTGAGAGGATTGAACGTGGGACCTTACTGTTCAAGTTTTTATGCATTTGGAATAGTTTGAGGGACAAATGTCTATGGAACTACGATTCATGACATTTCTATAATCGCAGACATATCAATGCATTAGATGCCTTTTTTATCACGATACAAAAATAGATTTAAATCAAATCAACAAAAGATATAATTTTTTTTTTAAATTAAAAAATTAGTTACCTGAGGATCATTAAACACTTGTTCCATGTTGTTAACAGGACCATAAGGTAGACCACTGCCATCAAATACTCTCAACCAATATTCAGTAGGGTGTTTTAAAAAGCTACCAAGATAGAAACATTATGATGATTAGTTAAAATAAAAAGTACCTCTACATTTAATTTATTCACAGCAAAATTAAAATGATATTTAGAATCATTATTCAATGAATTTTTTATGATTTGCTTTTTTTTTGTGACATTCACAAATTCTTCTTAAAAATTAAAGGTGCCCTTCAGTTTAATATTTTCCAACTTTTATAAATTTGTTAATTATATAAGCAAGCAATATTTTAACATATTATCTTGGTATCTTATTGAATTTTTATTTTAAAACTTCAGACATTGTTGCAAAACTTTACAGAGTTCTTGAAGAAAGATTTTTCTATTAAAAAGCAAAAAATATTTACTTTTCTTTTCTACAGAAATTTACAGGTAATATTTAAATCTGTATTTTCGGCAGTTATTGATATTGGTTTTCGCATGTTTTTTTTAAATATGCCGATATATTTCAAACATTATGTAAAATTAGAATCGTGCATTTGAGTATTCACTTCTTAAGGCAATAATTCTATAGAATTTTTAGCAGTCATTGCAATTGATTTCTCCATAGTTTTTAAATCCGATATTTTTTATACAATATTATTTATTACAACAACCTAATATTGAAAGGAAACACGCACTTGAAGAATCCGATTCGAGTGATTTTGTTGTCAATCTTTTTTTTCCGGCAATTACAACTACAGATTCCATGATTTTTAACTACTTTTTTTAATGTGATGATTATTTACAAAATGCGAAGAAGGAAATAATTTGTGCTTCCCCTCCAACAAATTGCAAGAATATCACCCATAATATTAGAATAAAAAGTTATTACATGTTCAATTAAAAAAATATTTTACAGTTTTTTTTTTTTGTAAACACAGCAGTTTTGTTATTTTAAATTAGTAACATATATATTTGTTATTATTAGAAGTATCTTGCAGAATGATATTAGTGATAGAGAGTCTTATCACAGATTGCTTGAAAAAGACAACCACAAAGAAAAGATAGCCACAGGGTTTGTAAGATGGGCATAAACTCTTACTCTTGGTAAACCGAGTTTTAGTTCAAAATCTTTAAGACAAATGACGAAGAGGATAGTAAACCTGTTAAGCAAAGAAAATTCAACAAAATGTCTACTAGATGCAGCAAACAAGTTATAATCAAAGGATAAAATTAAAACCCAATAAAGAAAATGGCAAGATAGACTAGCACTGATAGACTGTTGGCAGGGTTGTGATTTTAGATGTCCTAAACTGGTTTTGGACAGGGCATTTGGGTTTTACAGTCTTAAACTGTTTGAAACTGACTAAAACTGTCTTAAAGTGTCCAAAACCTTGAACTTTGGTAAAAGGTAAGCATTGCACACATAATAAGTACATATAATAAATATTTGATACTTTTTATATACAGTAGAGCGCCGATTATCCGAACCCTTATTATCCGAACGTCCAATTATCCGAACTATGAATTCCGAATTCGCTTTTTTTTTTCCTTCTCTTTTTTAAGTTTAGAATTTTTTTTAACTTATCGACAATTTTTCTAAATTTAGAGGAATAGATAATATCAACTACATCTGAAGACTATATTTAATTTACAACCTTTTTCAGCAGTTTTCTTATAGTAGCCATACATACATGTATTGTTATACAGTTAAACCTACATACCCCTTTAGCCCTCTTCAACTGAAAATTATCATCAAAGAATGCGAGCTTCATTTTGACAATCTACAATTGTTGGAAAGCAGAATGTGTTTATGAATAAATAAGTGCTGAAATTCTACAATTGGGGATGGGTAGTTGTTGACACTCATGGTTAATGATTAGTGATTACAGTGCTTGGAATCCTAAATCTTGGAATAAAATTCTTATCAGAAAAACAAACGAAACTTCAGTTCGTGAATCGGTAGATCTTTCGAGTGAAAAGATGCCAGGTTATACAGCAGAAGAAATAGAAGACTGGTGTCGAGACACTGAAAACGACTCAGGATTTCAAATTTTAAATGATCATGAAATTGTTTCTGAAATTTTGAATGAAAATCGGAACTCCTCAGATTAAGAGGAAGAAGTACGTGATCAAGTTCAAGATCATGGACCTTCTCATAAGAAGGATGCAATTCATTAGATATTGCAATGAATTGCCTAGAACGTCAAAATGATGTTGATCCAATTCAGTTGATATTGTTAAAAAGAATAAGGGATATGGCTGCACAAAAAAGAGCATGTTCTTTGAAACAAAAGTCTTTGCTGGATATCTTTTGCAATGGAAAATAAAGAAAAATGTGGTAAAATCAGTAATTGACAAAAAAAATTATAAAAAAGCCGAAATATGATAAAAATGATTCAAATTGAAAAAAAAAAGTTTAAAAAAATATGTTTAAAAATCGAAAAAAAAAAATTCTTAAACTCGCCAGAGCTATTTTAGATAGTACTGCCAGTCCTAAGCCTAGAAAAAGTGTGAAGGGAGGTTAGCGCATAAATAATAATCATTTAAACTAGGTTTTAAAAAACTTTCCAATTATCCGAACATTTCATTATCCGAACCACGTTCGGTCCCAAGCAGTTCGGATAATCGGCGCTCTACTGTAATTTGCTTTTAATTACAAAAGGAAAATTATATAAGAGGAAAAGATAACTTCTGAAGCACCACAATTCATTGAACAACAAAAATGAATACTTCAAATATGAATAAATATGCTTTAAATACTGATAAATTATGTTTCGCATAAGGATAAACAATGCAATATTAAAGATAATGATAAACTTTTTTAATAAAACCAAAACTTGCTTTCCTATTCTTTCTTGTTCAAAAATTTACATTTTACTTTTCACAATATATTTTTTTTGAAATTGTGATATAATTTGAGTGAATAGGTTTTGAAAAGTTTAAGACTGTTTTGGACAAACGGATTTTGGACAGGACGGTTTAAACCGTGGCTTTTCATCCATTCTATCCTAAATGTTGCGAACTAAGGTTTTTGAAAATTTTTGAACAGAAACCAGGAACTCTGAGAATTAGTAAATATGAACTTTTTCTTTAATAAATAAATAAATAAAAAAAACAACAACATAATACTTACATTTCTGATAATTTCGATATGAGAGTTTTTCTATTTTTCACTCTTTCCTCATTTGATGAAAATCTTGGATCGGCACAGAATTCTGGAATAGTTAAAAGCTGCAATAAGAAAACTATTTTATTCAATTTAAACAGAATAAAATTGTATCAGAAAAGAATTGGCATACAAACTCCCCTGCCCCCTCAAAAAAATCGAGTTTAATTTTATGTGTAAGAAACATTTAATTTAAAATCACTTTTTTGACCCGAATTATCTGGGGCAAATGAAATAAGTTAAATATTAGTTTTTGTAGGATAGTTCTTAAAACAAGGGACAACACAAAGTGATATTTTTCAAACGTCAGTGAAGGAATATGGCAGGTTTTTTTAATACTCTTATTGCTATGCAAATTCAGCAACCATCGTATATACAATCACACAAAACACAAGTGCAGTCTCACATAAAAACTCTCAAATAAAACTTGGCAAACTTCCAATCACAGCAGATGTTTTTTGCTTCTGACCGAGTAAAAACGTGATCAAACAAAATGTACTGACAAATTCCGTCCGAGTTTTCTCGGGATGATCAGGGAAGCAGTTAATGAACCCACAATACGGCAGAATTTTTTCGGTCTTTCTGAAACAAACTTTCCTAGCACAAATATTTTGTGTTAAGATACTTTTAATTATAACAATTACTAATTTTAAATAACAGAAACGTTGTATTTCTAAGAAGTATAGAATAAAAATGCATAATAAATTTTAATTGTAAAAGTTATATTTTTTTACATTCTTATATTGTATGCGATATTGTCGCATTTTGTAGGCGGAAAAATTCACTAATTATTTCTGCTTTTGAATTTTGAAAATCATTGCACAAATTAAAATTCTTAAATAAATTAAGCGATAGTAAATTAAAATCCGTACTTGAATTAAAACTCGTAAAATCCGTGCAGTAACTCCCACAATAAAGATCAGGAGTCACGCGAATAGGACTCTTTAAAAAAGAGAAGCTCAAATAAGTGTATGTAAAATAAGGAGTTCTTTAAAGAAAAAAAATGAAAGAAAGAACATCATTTCTAGAGCTAACTTTCTTTTAATTTTAATTTTCTTATTTTAGATTATTATTTTGAAATTCTAGCTGAAGCCAGTCTTTAAAGATTTTTTTTTTTGTAAAATCTCAAATGAGAATAGAAAAATCATGATTATTTACTTCCTCTCTGATGTGCAAGAAAGGCATCTTTAAAAAAAGAAATTCTGCAGAAGAAAAAAAAAATTTAGAGAAATTATCCAGAAAGGAAAACCATAATTTTTCTTTTCCCAAATGAAACATTTTTCTGCAAAAACTCTGTAAAAATTTGCAACATTGCGCCGTGTTGCGGCAATTCTGCCACAGGGATAATAACTTAAATATCAACACTTACCTTACACATCTTTTTGAACCCGTCATTGCTGGTAGCCCCTATAGTTATATAACTATCCCTTGTTTCAAAAGCTTGATATGGGACAATACTCTCATGGGCCGTTCCCCAGCGCTTTGCCTCTACTCCAGAATTGAGATAATTGGAGCCTATGTTCACTAATGAAGAAACCTTAAAAGACATAAATATTTTTCAGTTGTAGAGAAATGAAAAGATTTGGAAACAAAATCCACTAAAAAAGACATTTTTAAAAAAATATTTATATCTCACTACAGGGATGCCACAGAAAAAAATGAACAAAATAGTTGCTTTAGTAGCCTAAAGCATGAAAACAGTTGCCGAAAACTATGAAAATAGTTGCCTAAATAAGAACAAAAATAGGACTAAAATTTTGTTAATGACTTAATTGTTATATACTGTGATCCATTTAGTCAATTTGGTGGCAAATATGATAATTTTTATATAAGCGTTAATGTTCTAGTACTATTTTCCCTTCTATCAATAATTGTACACACACACATATATATATTGTGAAAAGTGATTACTCAAATTCAAAATTCAGGCAGCATAATATCGTATAAAAAAAAATTTTCTTCATTGTTTTCCAAATCATACGGAATTTTGAGGCAATAGCCATTGAAAATGCGATCGAGAAACGAAATAGACTTACAATGGAATCTGCGGATTGAACGATAAAAAGTGAAGATTAGAATTTGCAACTTAAAATTTTCAACGTTTTTTACTCTCTTTTTTGAGAAAAAAAAGTTTAGTGTGTTCAAAAGCTATTGCGGGCTGCAGATTTTGAACCTAATTTATGCTAAAAAACATTGCTAGGAGTACAGAAAAGTCTCCCAATAGTCTCTTTTAAATGAAATTAATTGCTTATTTTAGCCTTTTCAGGCAAAAAAAAAAAGAAGCCATAGTCGCCTCATGTAAAAAAATAGTTGTATTATAGTCGGTGGTAATTCTACACCAGTAAAAAAAATTTTTTTTTGATTATATATCAATGAATTACAATTTGAAACTGTCTTCACTAATGAAGGCATTTTATCAGGAATAAATATTTTTCAATTCTAGATGTGAATAAAAATTATAAGAAAAATTTCTCTAGTTAAGATACCTTAATAAATATTTTTCAACTAAAATGAATGCATATAATTTAAAATAATGTTTAGCAATGAAAACTATTTTATCAAGAATACATTTTTAATTGCAAGTGAATGAAAATAATTAAAAACTATAACCGCAAATGAAAAAACCTAAATAGGAATAAACATTTTTTAATTGTAGAGGAAATAATAGAGAAAACTATGGACACAAATGAAAAGACCTAAATTAGAATAAATATTGGAACAGATGAAAATAAATAAAAACAATTTAAAACCATCATTAAATCATTTTAAGAGCAGTACTACATGTTTTAATATTTGTAAGCAAAGATTCTTTTATAAGAAATGTCATTAATTTTTTCATAATTAGATAACTGTCATTTTTGTTTGAATCAATTACATAACTAAGCAAAAATACTAAAGTCTGATCATATTTTTTCTCTAATAATGAACCTGATGTTTTCAGTTAGGTTATTTCAATAAAAAATAAAGTATTAATAACGATATGAAAGTTTCAAATAACTGAAACTTATTTTCATTACTTGACACCTTAATAAAAATATTATATATATATATGGGGGTGGCAAATGGAATTGAGATACACTATCTGGCCAAAAGTGTCTGGACAAACGGTTTTCATGTGTGGTGGAAGCATAATGGTGTGTGTGTGTGTGGGGGGGTGTGTTTCTTGTGGTTTGGCCTGTGTCCGTTAGTTTCTGTAGTCGGAATCATGAACATTGAGATGTATGTGGACATTCTGGACAATGCTGCACTTCCAACTCTATAGCAATATTTGGGGGAAGGCCCATTTCTGTTCCAGCAGGATAGCTGTTCCATTCACACATCGAGCTTGTAAAGACGCGGTTTAACAAAATGAGTGTTCAAAAACTGGACAGGCCTTCTCAGAGCCACGATCTAAATCCCATAGAATACTTTTAGGACCAATTAGAGGGTAGATTACGTATCCACTCACTTAAGTTGAGAGCAAAGCCTGGAAGTCAATTCCTATGGCTACCTATCAAAAACTGGTGTAAAGTTTTCTCAGGTGTGTGCTGGCTGTCATCGATGCAAAAGACCAACATCATATTAATCCGTGCCTCAGGATGCTCTAAGTCCATATCACTGGGTGTCCAAACACTTTTGGCCAGAGCGTATCACTGTCAAAACACTAACAGTGGGCATGCAGAAAGGGTAGAGAAAGCGGGCAACTACCCTAGATATTCATTTGACAACTAAGGATAATAAGACTTGAAATCAATTAAAAAAAAATTTTTTTTATGAAATTAATTTTTTAAAATAAATAAATATGTGGCTCAATCAAAAATATTTCCTGATTTTAAAACAAATTAAATTTTTCGTCATTAAAATTAAAATATTTCTTAGGGTTAAAAAAATTTGAAGAATATTTTGTGCGTTACCCCATAATAATCTTCACCTACATTTATATCAAAATGCATAGCTGCCAACATGGATAATAAAAAAAACCAAGAGATTTTGCAAAATAATATATAAATTTCATGTTAATTGTCTCATAATGTACTAAATATTTTATAACAAGGGAATTTTAGGGATTTTTACAGTAATCAAAGTAGGAAGACTGCAAATATTTCCTGCTATGATGAACTTGAAATGTTATGTATTATGCTTACTCATAATTTTAAATAGTAACAGGCATTTAATTCATCAAAGATAGTTAGAAGATTTCTTAATCAATTTAAAAAGTTCTGAATCAAGATAAACTGAAAATTTTAGAATAAAATAAAAGGTTCTAAACTTATTTTTATAAACGAGGTTCGCTTCATAATGCATTAGTAATACTTATTTAAGTATTCAAGCAAACCATAATATTTGTCCATAAATTCTCTTTCAATAGGGATTTTTTTAGAAAACTTACTCACAATTTTAGGGAATTGTCTAAAATGTTCAAAAATCAGGAGAATTTTTATAAAACCAATAGACCAGGAAAAACTGGCAAAATCCAATAGAGTTGGCAGAAAATTAGTTAAAAAAAAGTATGGATTTAGATTTTTATAAACATAGGTTCCAACTGATAAATTTAAAGGCATAATTCCAAAATTTATTTTTAAAATTAAATTGACTCTTTTTTTGTCCCCTTCAGTTATTTCATTTCTTTTTTAGGGTCATCTAATTAAGACACCTGCCCCGGGATTTCGAACACCCCTGCACATCAGTGTTTTGAAAACATGCGTACCTGAGTAGAAAAAAGATCACAATCGATTTTTTGACCATTTCCGGTTTTCATCCTGTGAATTAAAGCAGCCATAATAGCACCTTGAGCGTACAGCCCAGTAGCCAAATCAGTCACGGCCACACCTGCTTTGCAAGGCTGCCCACCCTCTGGACCAGTGATGTGAAACAGACCACCAACAGAGGCAACAATGACATCAAGTCCAGGTCGGGTTGCATATGGACCTGTTTGTCCAAATCCTACAGTACAAGACACAATTATTAAAATTTCGGTGTACTATAGAAGAAATCTAGTTACTATGATTATAACCTAGTTACTAAAATAGTAATGAAATGTATCTGATGCAGTAATAATTAAGATGAATAATTTTCCTTTTCTTTATAGGGTCAAACAATTAACAAAGAAATGCCACATTAAAAATAAATATGATGACTAACAGAAGACAGGTAAATTGTTATACCTAATAGCACCCTTTAAGGTATGCAACTTGCGGTTGCATGATCTTTTTGAATAGAGAGTTACCTGCACATCTGATTGACAAATGAAGGGCCACTATAGTTTGTCTAAAATCTGGACCTGTGGTGGTGACCATGGTAACGAAGTATGACTATTTCAAGAAGGGGTGCAAGGTCACTGTTTTGGAGTGGTTTTGGATAGGGTCGGGGAGAGAAAGGAAATCTCTTCGGTCTATTGTGTTAGTCCTAGACTGAAGCTACCCCACCCCCAAAATGCTCCATTCTTGTTTCCACAGCACCTGAAGGCCTCAGACTTTGTGGTAGGAGAAGTTCTTAGCTAAGATAAACTATAGCACAGCATATTGACCAATAAAGGATCACTCCTACAACAGATTGACTAATGAAGGGTCACATATCCAATATATGTTGATGGCAATTATAGTAATTTTTAATAAATATCAGTGTTCTGGGCCTTGAGTCCTTTTCATCAGTTAACAAGGTAATCTGTTTACTTAAAATTGAATACTTTTAAGCATTAGATTTTACTTAAAATTAAAGAAAAACAAAATATACAGAATGATTAAAATAAATAAAAACAATGGTAAAATGTGGTGGGTACTTTGTTGCATTAAATAATACAAAAGTTCATTTAAGAAATATTATATCAAAAAGAAACAATGTTTATATGTTAAAAAAACCTTAAGCTTTTAAATTTAAAAAAACAATTAAATAGAGCAAAATAAATGCAGGTTAAATACTTCAAATAAAAAAAGAATGATTTAAATTAAAACAAAACCATAATTGTGCAAAATAAGATTTAGTATTAAGTAAGGAATATACTTCAACTTTAAGACATTTATATTAAGTAAATTGTAAGAGGCTTAATAAATCTAAAATATTTTATTTATTTATTATTTTTTTAAAAAAAAAAAGCACTTATTAACCAAAAAAAAAAAAATTTGAATCCACGAGTTGTAATAATATTGTGATAAAGTATCAGGATTTTAGTAACCACACAGAAAAGCATAGCAATAACTGCCCAAAAAACAATAGAAAAAACAATTGTACTTATGATTAAGTCAGCACAAATGAAGAGTGTCAAAAAGTGATTTTTTAAATGTTCGATTCGAAATGTGAATGTTGTAATAATAGAGTATTAAAAATATCGAGACTTTAAAAACCAAGAAGAAATTTGTAGAAATAACTGCCAAATTAACCATTGAAAAATAATTAGGATTTTCAAAAAATAACCATGAATAAAACATGTCAAAAAGTGGTTATCTAACTACACAATTCATAATATAACAAGCCAAAAATATTGAAATTTTATAAACTACATGGAAATGCATATCAATTACTAACAAATTATCAATAACAACTAGTAATAGCAAAACAATAATTAGCAATAACAAAAGTCATTTGGATTTGGGATGAAGTTTTAACAAATAAAGTGCATCAAAGAGTGTTTAAATGCACGATTCAAAACTTAAAAGGCATTAAAATAGTGTAGCTTTAAAAACTACAGGGGTATTTGCAGGCAATACTATCAAAAAATGATTAAAACACAAAGAATTTATAATGAAATATAATGATGATAGTCAAAGGTGATTACTAAAATTCAAAATTCAAGTACTGTAATAATCTCACATTAAAAATAATGAGATTTTTAAAATTATGTGGAAATCTCTAGGGATAACCACCAAAAAACTACACTGATTAAGATTGAGTACACCCAAAATTTAAAAGGGCATTTCAAAATTGCTGACATTTTTTTTTTAAATTTTCAAACAAAAAATAAATAGTTTATTTTTTATGATTACATTTTACTGTGGTCCACACATTAAGCACTGGTGGGTGGCATGTCTACTTTGAGGGACCCTATTAAAATCGCAAAATTAATTTAAAAATTGTTTTCTATATTAACCATTTTAAAATTATCAATGGCAACATCTATTCAGTTTTTTTTTTTTAGTTTAAAATGTAGAATTTGTCACTGTGTGTATTGTGTGTAGACATGGCAGTTTCAATCAAATGGAGTCTCATTTTTCAACAAAAGTAAAAATAGTTCACAATATCAAGGTGAAAAGTGTTATGAGAACTGCACCAGTTTTTAAAACAGTTATCAATTTTCACATTAAAAACAACTAAATGATCCAACAATTTAATAAAAACACAAATTTAGGCTCTTTAGATTCGGGCTAATTTTATACAATTTCTACATTTCGATGTCAATTTTATGATTCTGCATAAAATACAACAAAATATCATAACTTGATTTTGAACTTATTGGCTTAGTAATTAGATTTTTTTAAAAATTATATAACGACAGCAACTAGTACAAATAAATAATTCCCCTGGCAGAATTTTTTCTGCATCAAAACTCTTGAGCACTTCTGAAATATACATTTAATAATAACATGCATATATGTAACTAATTTAAAATAACAAAAGCACTCTGTTTACAAAAAGATAAAAAAAAAACGATAGTATATTTTTTGAATTGAACATGTAATAATTTTTTATTCTAATATTATGGGTGATATTCTGGCAGTTTGGTAAGGGGGGGTGGAAATTATTTCCTCCTTCGCATTTTGAAAATAACCATCACAATGAAAAATCATTAAAAATCAAGAAATTTTGTAGTAGTAATTGCCGAAAAAAAAGATCAACGATGAAATCACACGAATCAGACTACTAAAATGTATGTTTCGAGATTAGGTTTTTCTAATAAATAATATCATATAAAAAATATCTGATATAAAAACTATGGAGAAATCAATTGTAATAACTGCCAAAAATTTGATAGAATTATTGCCTTAAAAGGTAAATACTCAAATGTACAATTGGAACTTTTCATTATGTTTCAAATATATTGGGATATTTAAAAACCATGTGAAAAATCAATAACAATAACTGCCAAAAATACAATAGAAATTTTACATTTATCAGCATAAATTGAGCTAGTCAAAAAGTGATTATCTAAATGCATGATTCAAATATTATATGTAAATTTATGTCGAAAATAAACATTTTTTGCTCTTCAAAAGAAAATTCTTTCTACCAGAACTGTTGCTGTATCGCAGTGATTCGGTCACAAGGAAAATAATAATAGTAAAAAAAAACTTGCTAAACTTGTGTGCATCAAATAAAATTACAATGATGTAAAATAATAATAATTGAAGCATTTTAGAAACTTTCAAGTTTTTAAAAATTTCTATTCAATTAATTAAAATAAATGTTACTAACCAGTTATTGAACAATATATTAAATGAGGAGCCACTGATTTAAAAGATTCATAACCTAATCCTAAAGAGTTGAGTTTCCCAGGAACAAAATTTTCTACCAAAACATCACTTTCTGTAGCAAGCTAAAAGGAAGTACGAATAATATAAAATGCAATTTGAAAAAAGATCATGGCATTAGTATTATAAAAAAAGAAATAGTTATCATAAAATTAAAACTCTTATATAAAAAATTAAATTTTAAAATATTTTTTAAAAAGATATGTCATGAAATAAAAGTATATAAATTTTGTTACAGATAGAATTAGTTTATTCCATAAACCTTAAAACACCAAATGTTGCATTTGTTCAGACTTTTTCGTTATATAGATCCTTTCACACGCCTTTAACCCCTTAACAGTGACATATATTTCATAAAAATGGAAAACTTTTTTGACTGTTTCATTTTGTTCTTTACATTATTGTAAAAGTTAGAAAATAGTTTTTTATAACAAAAATAAAATTTTAAATGCAATAACTACTGCATTTATAATTTTTACATTCACATAAAAAATAATGGATTATACACACATCTTATTCAATTAGAGCAAATTGAACAAAATTTTGAAGCTAAATATAATATTACTTGTATAATATAATATAAAAACACAACAATATGATTTTCAATACATAAATTTTACAAATCTTTTACAGTATGGCATATCTCAAAATCCCCATCCACACTTCCCTCCCTCGACTGAGGTTGTAATCAGTGAAAAACTAGGACCACTAATGCCATCTTTTAGAAAAATAGTGAATTAAGTACCCTAAAGTAGAAAAGAACTCAACTCGGGCCTCACAAAATAGAAACGTTAATTTTCCTCTTGCCTGAAGTCAGTTCGGGCAACACAAACAACGCACATAGTAAATAATCGAACTGGATTCGGGCGACACAGGCAAGGGGTTAAACTTACCTACTAAACATGGTTATATTTGTCTGGAACATAGGAAATTAATGAAAAACAAAAAAATTAGAAGTGTTTATTATAAGTATTAATATAAGTCTATTATTTATAGAAAAAAAAATTTAATTTAGTACTTTTAAAATTTGTAACCTTTCAACAAATAATGAAAAAATTCAATAGTTCTTGCTAAGTCACAGAAATTTTTTAATTACAATTGTTTACACCTGCTAAGTTAATGAAGTTAATAGAATTATGCTATGTCGATCTCGTACTGATCTTAGTACCAATTGTATTAATTTTTTAAAAATTTGCATGAAGTTCTATTAGAAACAGAGTGCATAGAAAAGAGAGAGATGACACAATACATAAATGTCCTGTAAAAAAGAAACCATTATTTTGTTTTCTAAGCAGATGAAGAAGTTACACATTACTCGAATATTAATGAATTTTGCACTATTGCAATGATTGGATAAGAAAGTGAAATTAAGAGGACATGCAATTAACAACTGTGACATCCTCCTTGTATTAAATCCTTTAGTGTAGTACTAATTAGAATCTCATTGGATAGTCTTTAATTATGGACACAGCCCGAAAAGTGTTTAAGAATATGGACACAGAAAATGTGAGTGTCCAAGAAAATAGACAAACATTTTAATTTCATTTTTCAAATTTCTTTTTTTGAATCTTGTTAAAGAATATGCTTATGGATTCAAATAAATTCATAAATTCATCATAATTCATTCATGACGTTTATTTGCCTAAACTGTTAAGTACACTTTTGTTAAAATTACTCTTTTTTGAAAAGATATTAACAACAGTTCCTTTCACAATGTTCTCACAGGTCCTATAAATGTATAATAGTCATGATTAAGTTGACATAGTACAAATTTAAATTTTTCAAAACCACTTTATAGTACATCATTTAACTTTACTTACAAGGTTGTCACGGTTCCTATAAATTTATAATAGTGGTTATTAAGTTGATGTTGAACAAATTTAGAGATTTTTCAAAACCGCTTTATAGTTTAGCGTATGTGAATATGAAGAGATGGCTCAAAAATGAGATCTGTACTAAGCCTGTGTGATGGACTCATTACGATTATGCTTAGTGTTTAAAAAAGTACTTATGAAATTCTTTGTCATTTGGGTTGAACATTGAAAAAGTATGTTTTTCTCTGTGTCCATTTCCTTAAATGTGCATCTTTTCTAATGTCTATTTTTTAAAACAGGTATTTCACACTGCGTCCAGAATAAAATGCTTGTTTATGAACTACAAAACATTTTTCCAAACACAAGTATTTAAACTGAGATCGATAACTTTGCTAGCAATAGCTATTGTAGAAGTAATACTTCTACTTTAATATAAGATTTAGAAATTTTAAATGAGTTGGTGAAAATTAATAATTACTATCTCTTAAAGTCGAAACATTACATCAATCCTTTATAAGTTTCTTATATTTACATAAATATTGAGAGTAATTAAAAAAACAGACAAGCTATTTATAGAATTTTGGTTCAGAGAGTTTTCTGAAAAATATATTTAATGCATATTTTAATTGAGAAAATAGTTGGTGGTTTAAATATGAATTAAATTATTGAATGATAGGATGTATGTCATGCCTACTTTGGCAACATATGCTTCATAGTGATTCACTATATTAAGAACAATTTATACAGGGTTCCCACCCAATTTCAGAAAGAAAAAAAAACCCTGACTTTTCCAGGTTTATCGGGAAAATTTCACTTATTTATAGAATTCCAATTTATTTATACCAAGCAATTTTTAATGAGGAAACTTTGATTTTTATTTGTAATGTTAAATATTAGATTTTGGGAGAAAAAAAGTATAATTGAATAAGGATGAAAGTTTCATTAAAATGTGAAATTTTTACAACAAATAATCATAACAAATGTTTAAAATACTTTAACTCGTATAACTGATCACTGCTACTGACAATTCTGAGACTGGTTATTTTCCAGAAATGATGTAGGAATTTTCCAGGTTCTTGTAAAAAATTGCAACTGAATATTCCCAGCTTTTTAGAGTCAAAAAAAAATTCCCAGCCAATTCCAGGTTTTTCTTGTTCTCCCTGTCCCATAGGAGCCCTGATTATATGAAGAAGGTACATAAATAGTATACATACATAGTATAGTGATTTCTAATTATCTAATGCACATTGCGCAAAAAAATAATAATGAATAAATTGATCTTCTTAAATAACTTTTAAACTAATGATCACTTTAAGACTCAATCTTAATGGTTCGAGGGAGTGATATCATAGATGCTAATTAATTAGAGCAAACAATATTTTAAGTTACGAAATCAGACTTAAAAATTACTTTCTCTGAATTAACATTCCTCTTTTTTATGGATTATAATTTCTGACCTCCAAAATATAGGAGGTAGTCCTAATATGGGACATATGGTTCCTGGGAAATATGTCAAGCAAGACAGGAAAAAGTTAGAACTCTTTTATGTTAATTTTACTATCTGAGAATTTCACCAATTCTCGAGAAATTTTGATAATTTTTTCCACAGAATTATGAAACTTGTTTATCTAAAGATGATTAATGCAAAATATAACATTTAGTAAACATTTAATATTTTTTATTATTTTATCTAATAAAAAAAACTTTCAATTGTAAGGTATACAGCTTTTGACACTCATTTAAAAAATGTAATTTTGCAATGCAAAATTTGAGTGAAATTGGACACATAGTTCCTGAGAATTCAAATTTTTTAAAAAGTCGTATTTTTAAAATTCAGTTTCTCAGGAGCTATTTGGCTGATTTTGCTCAAATTTTATCTTTTAAAATTGTCTTTTTTTAAAATTATGTAAAAAAACGTATACCTCACAATTAAAAATTTTGTTCAAAAACCATTAAATGTTATAAAAAATTGTAAATATTTACAACAAAATTGTTTTTGCATGTGATTGTATTTGGATAAAGGAATTTTATATTCGTATCGTAATCGAATTTTATGATTCGTTAAAAAATTTGAGATACAGAGAAATACACAAAAAGTAAAATTAACATTTAGGTGTCCAAACTTTGGACTACTCTTGACCAAACTATTGGAATATTTTCCAGATTACAATACCTCCTAATTTTCGGGAGTTAGAAATCTGAATCCGCCAGAAAAAAGGTGTGTTCATCCAAAAAAAGTATGCCTTTGTGTCTGATTTTTAAACTTAAAATATTGACTGCACTAATTAATTAGCATATTTGGAGTCATCATCTCGAACCTTTAAGATAGAGTCCTAGAGCATGAAGATCTGCTCATTAGATCAAAAGTTATACAGGGTGATGGTCTATTTTTATATTTTGCACACTGTATACTGTGTATAATTTTTTCATGAATATTTCAAAAAAATCACACACTGCAAAAATTTACTATTAATTCTTTTTTATCTCTACAAGGAGAAACTGTAATATTAGAAATTTCAATTACATTACACAAACCGCACACATATAAGTGATGTTTATTTCATTAAAAATAATAAAAAAAATAAATAATAATATTTAAATATGATGTTTCTCACCTTCATAAGTAACTCTTTTCCTTGCGGCTTCTTAATATCAATTGCGATACTCTGAAATACACAAGAAAATGGATATAACATTATTACACACAGTTTCAAATTGCATGTTAATACAATACAATAGTTAAAGAATTTATTGATACAAGGATCATAAAAAAATCTTAGTATTAATACAATGAAAACTAATACCTTCTGCACACATACATACGAAAAAGCCTGGGCTCTTGAAAGTCAGAGATATGTGTGTCAAATTTTTTCTGGAATTGTAGGTACAATAGAGGAAGTAACTTTTTATTAATATAGAGAAATGCAGTCAAACCTAAATAGCACAAAATGGAACCAAGACATTAAAAATGTTGTGATATCAGAATTTCAGGACATCACAAATTGGATATTTTTAATCTATTATTTTGTAACAATTAATCCAAAATAATAACTTTAAATAAAACACAGAATATATTAAAAGATGCTTAATGTACTTATTATTAAAAAAAAGCAGTTACTTCAAACAATATCTGCTCATTCATTTGATTTTAAGTTTTGCTAAGTTTCTTCGGTTTTGTCATTTTCCTTTTCTGATGTATCTCCAGACGCGGAAGTCTCTTTTAATAACTCTAATTGTTCCTAATCACTACAGTAACTACGTCCGCATAAATATTAGTTTCTTTTGGATTCATTTAATTAGCAAGTTCTTTCCCATTTTATTAGTGGGTATACATATCTTGCACATTTACTTCTTCAGAAATGGATGATTTAGATTGCCACTTTTCAAACATCTTTCTCTTTTTAGGGTATTTGAAAAATGATTTATAAAATTATTCAAGATAAGTTTTTGAAATTAGGAATTTGCGAAAACAGTTTTAATCCTGAAGAAATTAGGGGGGAAAACTTTTTTCCTGATATCAAAAAAATTTCTTGAAATCAAGGGTCAACAAAAAATGTATTTGGCTAAAAAAGGTTTTTCTCAATTAGAAACATAGTTAACTCATAAGGAATTCCAAATTTTTCACGATATTGAAAAATTCCTATCACGGTAATGTGGAAAAAGTGTTACCGACAATGCAAACCTTCAAAATCTATCAAAAGTTACTTCATGATTGAAACAAGTTAGCATGCATGTTATATACTAGTGAATGGATATTTAATAATTGTAGTGGTAGTTAAGCAACAGCACTTTGTGACATCAAGGCTTGATTGCATTAAAAATGTGTTAAATAAATACTTTTTTATTTCTATTCACACAAATGAAGTAAATGCTTTCTCCATTGATGAAAGGTGGTCCCCATCTTCGTGTTTCATCCCCACCATCTGCAAAATTAAATTATGTAAAAATTAAATAATTAATTAAGAAAATAAATTCTTAAAGGTAAACATTAGAATATGGCAAGATTAAAATAAAAAAGTATGTAGGCTAAAGTTTTTTTTAAAAAAAAATAATACTTAAAACAAAGTATGTTCTTTAGTAAATTTAAAAATTATTCTATAAATTCACGGTGCATATTTTTACTTCTGTTTTAGGATTTAATAATCAATAAGACTTAGACACAATAAAAAAATCTCACTTAAAAAACTTTATGCAAGCAATATATTAACTCTTTTAACTAGTTTCATTGTCATATCAGTGAAATTTGCTTTTCAATATCACAGATTTTTAAAATTTTTTTTTATTTTCATAAAACTTTTTTTAATTTTCATAATATATTGATTCATACCACAAAGATGAATTTGTTGAAAAACCAAACAAGCTAATATAGAAATCAAAAAATGCTTTGTGCAAAAGCACTCTTTAAATAATTGAAAAAAATATCTGAAATTTGAGCAAGAAAAAGTGAATATAGGAAGCATCTATCCACAAAATTTCACCAATGTCTTACTAAAAATTCTGATGCAAGATTTTATTTATTTATATATTTTTTAAATTATGTGAATTTGAATCTCAATGAATGAATTTTAAATTTATGCAAACACGAATCTCGGTATTTGATTTAACTTAAGACAAATCTCTACGTTTGATTTTAAAATTGTTTTTAAATGAATTCTGATGTATAATTAAGTCACTTAAAAATTAATTATAATTGTGGCTTTTTAATCGCACGTTTACAAAATACAATATTTGATATAAAATCATGAAAATATGATACAGGGTGTGTGATCTTAAATCCTGTAAATAGAATCGCGATGTATGATTTTAAATCATGTGAACATGAAATGCGCTGTGTTATTTTAAATCATATGAATGTAGTTTTAAAGTGTGTTTGCATAGATAAGAAAAAGTATAGAAAGGAATATTTTTTCTCAGGAATTCGAAAAAGCCAATCTTTCTTTAAAGATGCATACTTTATTCTTTATAGAAATAAAAAAAAGAGAAAAAACTCATCTCTGATACCAGCATGCCTAAGTCAAATGCAATGACATAATTGCATGATGCAGAGAAAAAAATTCCCATATTAATCTCTGTCAGACTGACCTGCTCATTAGGATATGGGAATTTTGACTTTTTTTTTCTTTTTTAGTAATGCCAAAAAAAATTCGAGAGTTCACTATAAACAGTGTTCATGTATCATGAAATTAATAAGAATGAAAGTGTTAAAAATTAAAATTAATGATGTGAATCGACACTTTTTTTAAAAAAAAATTTCGTGAATCAGTGTACTGAAATTAAATTTTTGTATAAAGTATAAAACATTTTATAAATGATATAAATAAATAAAATTAGAGCAACATTTGAATATATATGTATGTATAGATCACACAAATTCGGATTTAAACCTTAAACAAAGGGTATGACTTACAAGGACTTTCAATTTTGATTACTTCTGCACCAAGATCCCCCAATATCATAGTACAAAATGGACCAGCTAAAATACTGTAAAAACAAGAGTTAAATTTTTGCTTTACTAAACATTGTATAATATTGAAAATACATAAATAAGTATTATTAGAATATAAGAAAGTTAATATATCAGAGGCAGAATAAAAACTTGAAACCCTTGAAAGGTAATGCTTGATAAAAATTTGAATCATCTCCAGTATTAAGATCTAGGGATGCTTAGTATATGGAAATAAAGTTAAAGGTTAGGCTTCTTCTTTGGCATAGAAAATGGTTGTGGTTGCGTAATATCAGGTTGCTGACCGAATTTTTTATGAATTTAAACACGTAATAACACAGTGGTCTACAATTAATGTTAATGGTCTAACAGCAGTTTAACTCTATACTCTCTGAGAACTTTCTTCCATCAAACAATAACTTTATTTTATTCACAAATTTTTAATGAAATTTAAATAATATAAATATTTAACCTTGTTTGTTAATTAATCACAAATCAAATATTTTAACCACAATTAAAATATAACTCTGAACCTTTTTTAAAGGTTACGATAAAGCAAACATAATATAAACTACCAAAAATACTGTTTAGAATTAATAGCAAATACACAAAATGAAAAAAAGCTAATATTCAGAAGGAAATTTTTATTTATTTATTTATTTTATTTTATTAAATTGTTACAGATTTAGTTTAATCAAAAATTTGATATTTTCTTGGCTTTATAAGAATGAATATTAAAAATTTACATTGTGCAATGTGATCAGTGTTTTTATGGACAGCAATTTCAGGCCCCAGAGCTCACTAAAAATTATTTTCTTGCAGTTTGCATCATTTTTTAGGGGTTTCTATTGTAGTGCAAGGGTGAACATGGATTTTGCCCCAGGACAAGAAACACTCGCGAGCCCATAGCTCAAAACACAATAAGTCAATTTTTTTTTATTTTGTATGCTTTTTCAAATTTTTTTTGTTAAAACATTAGTTTACTATTGATTGTTGAAACATCAGTTTTTGTAGATGTACTAAAATATTGTATTCTAATTTACTTCATTTAATTAAAAAATTAAAGTTTGCTGGTTTTTATTTTCATAAACAAGTACTAAATTTGAAAAATTTCTTCACTAAAATTATAGAACATTGTAAATAAATATGAAAGAAATCCTGTGCAATTAAAAAAAAATAAAAAATAAAAATCATTTTACTTTTTCTAAGGAATTGAACCTTCAACAATCATGAGCCCTGGGACAAATGTCCCAGTCTCCCCCCCCCCTCCTTGCTACAGTGGATCACATATGATTTTAAAGACAAGTGACCATGAACTGATCTCTAATGAGATCCCCTAGCTCTGTTTAAAAAAAAAATCGGTTAAAATTTTATAAAGTTAAGAATACTTTAAAATCAACACATAATTAAAACAGATTAAGACCAGATATTTTGAATATCAAATGTTAACTAGTCAAAACCTAATTATAAAACTTTTGCCACAAAACAAATATCATAAGAAGGAAAACAAAATAGAAAATTTAGAATTGTTTTCATTATTATTATGAAACAAAATCACAGACAACTTAATCATACACTGAAAACTTCTCAATTTATAAGACTTGTCAATTACTCTTTTAAGAAAATGAAACAGATAACTCAAAGCTGATTTAGAAACCTATTTAAGCACTAAATTTGACCCACTATCCGAACATAAAATAGCTAAGTATTATAGAGTAACATTTTAAAACAATATAATTATTATGAGTGAAAGATTTCCGTATTGGAAAAAAAAAACATTTAATAAAAGAACCAATTTGAAGGGTATAATTCGTAGCCACATCTAGGGAGGCCTCAACCACTTTTTAAAAGTTTTATGGAAAAATCCTCATCATGAATAAATTTTCAGATATGAATGATACAATAGCAATAATAGTAAGAAGAAAAGGTAAGATTTGAATTTACCGCGACATATCAAGAATACGAATGCCAGAAAGAGGGCCCTCTTTCAATGCTTCGTTCGAGCTTGAATCTAAAAAAAATATTGCCATATAATTTTTAAATAAATAGTTTAAATGTGAACAACATATAAAATCGTACCAAATATAGAGAATTATAAGAAAAACGGTCAAATTAAAATATGAGGACATACTTGTAAAATACTGATATCTACATTTAGTACAATTTGTAAATTGCCTAAAAAGAATTCTTTTCAACATAATTGAAGTATATTTGCTAAAATTGAACTTTTTACAAATTGTGACAAAATTTTAAGTTATCAATAATGTTCTCATAATACTCTGACAACAATAATCACATATTAAAGCGAATAAAAAATTTAAAGGACAGATAGTTGGTTGTGATAAAATAAAAAATTGAGCAATGTTTATTTACTTTATCGAATTTGCCATCGGTTTACAGTTAAAAGTGTTTTTTCATGAATATCTTTTCAATATTTAGGATACAACACTTATTAAGGGTCATTAGCTTAACAAAAATAAGCTGTTATAAAACAGCAGAAATAAGCAGCCAGAAGTGTACTAATAAATAAATAAACAATTTAGTTCATTTGTTCTAGCAGTCGTTCTTGCATTTAGAAAAAGTAAAGCAAGAATGTTTAAAAAGTAAGTAAACAGTAATTGAATTGACATTACATAACTAATATTGTTGTGTTTTGAATTTTTTAAAGTAATTCTTGCAATTATTCTAGATGTTCAATATTTTATTAAACTACAATCATCACCAGAGCTAGATGCCCATGCATTTTACTATCGCGGGGCCCTCTAATTTTTGGCTATTTGCAAGTAAACGAATACAAAGTGGTTATGATAAAAATCCCTACAAATGTAAATAAACCAAGAGCCCATTATATAAAGGTAAACAAAAGTTGCAGTTACTCGAAGGTGACATCATTGAAAGCAAAGACCGCAAAGTATATTATGGTAACAAGAAATGAGATTTCAGCAAAATTGAACGGAAATTATCACCTAATAAAGGGCCCCCCGATTCTACTCTAGAGCCCCCAAAGCTATCTAATAGAGTAATTTTTTTATCGACTTTTTTTTATTTAAAAATTTAGTTTTTAAATTCTTGTTCACTTTTGAACTGTTTTATTCTAATTAGTTTAAAAAAAATTGTTACGTACGTTAAATAAACAAAAATATCAGAAGAATCTATAACTAAGTCTAATTTTGATTTAAACAAAGAACTAGGATATTCCGTATCATTATCTGTCATGCAGTTACAATCGCCAAAGTGCCAAATGAATTTTAAGCTTGCAAATTCTTTTTTAAAAAACAGTGGTTTGCCTTTGCTTGACTGCAAGTTCTACTATTTGAGTTGCTTGCCTTTTATGAAGTTTTTTTTTAAAACTTCTTACTGGCTATTGTCTGGAAATTGCCAAGACTTGAAGATTATTCAGCTGCAAACCACAATATGGAAATCTTCCAAAACGCTATCTAGTTCACTTAACCACATAAATGCTAATCACGATGTTTGATTTTTAAATCACTCAAATTTGAACTGTAGTGTTCAAATCGCGGTATTTGAATTTTCAAATTGTATGAAAACTTTTGTTAATTTAAAAAAAAGTATCTACAAAATTAAAGAATTCCCATGGGTGTATCCCTTTACTGTATGCATCTGTACTATCTAACAGTGGATGGGGGCTTATTAGGTTTTGATCGCTATTCAATATTTGTATATTCATGGTTGGAGGTTTAATTCAATCTGGAGGCTTATTCGGTATTCTACGCTATTTAAGGGTGAAAATTTACCAATTAAAAGTTTAACCACTTTCAGGAAATTCACTATAAATAAATTAATAATTTATTAAGCAGGATAACTGAGTGATAATTCCATATTGGTACCTGCTAATGTTGACTAGAATTGCTAAAAAAGTTTTGCTCTTGCAAGAAAAATTATGGAATCATTGCTCAAGGGTGGCTTCAAATAATGCCTTTCCAACTGACATCCTTTTGTGATTTTACACTACCCAGTTCTCAATTTTTTAGTTTAAATTCCACTAATTAAATCTTCCAAAGATTTTTGCCTTTTTAGAAAATAATGAAATTAAGGGAATATTTAGTGTCTTTTGTGAGCACTGTTTATATCCTTTCTCCCACCTTGTTAGAAAATATAAGCAAATCACAAATGCCCTTCCATTAGGTGACTATTTAATTTTTGAACCCTCCTTCGTTTAAATTTCCAAAATGCTAGCATGTTTTATTTTCTTAGTTAGTTTTCTGTTTTATTTATAAAAATGAACTGTAAAATGAGTATTAAAAAATATTCCTTTCCTGTAAGCATTTTTATCTGTATTTATTCAACTCTTAATGTATTTATATATTTTGTAAATGCCACTTCGTGACAGTTAATGATCTATTGCTTATTTTCAACCAATAGAAAATAGTAATTCAACCTTTTAATAAGTTTCGTATTAGTCGTCTTAAAAGTATGTCAGTAAATCAGTAATATTTTTTAATTTAAAATATTACCATTATTATTAAGTTAATTAATATTACTTATTACTGTAATGTTTATGAACTTAAAATATCAAAAACTATGTGTTGCAGATGTAACACATTCTGTTGTGTCTGTAATGCTCAATTTTTAGTTATTAAAAGTTTTTAAACTTGCGAAAGTTACTGAAAATTGGTGCAATCATAAATAATCAATCATAAGCAATCAAAAACTATTTTTGCAAAAATTATTAGAATTGCTTGATTCTTTTTTTTTTTTTTTTGTTGACTGAGTTGTATGCTTTTAAAGTCAACTACGTGAGTATCCGAAAGGGTGGAATTGCCCAAAAAGAGTTTTTGTCTCTGGTGTAAAATTTTACAAAGTTAATCAATTCATTTCTAAGCCAATCTGTCCCTTGTCAGCATTTGGAAATACAGTAGGGGATGCTCGGGACCATCGCTATCCCGGATGTCTGAGTTTCCCGGTTTTCTGGATCAACCAAAAAGTGTTGTTAATCGATGTTTTGTCCAACCCAAATTACAAGGAAAAATAAGAAAAGGCAATATAAAATAAGAAAAGTAAGAAAATAAGCAAGAAATGCATAAAGTAAAAGAAAAAAGAAAGGTACTCCTAACTTTAAAAAGAAATGGTAGAAAAATAACATTTAAAAGAATAAAAAAATTTGCAAGTTTAGACAAGAAAAACATGTTTAAAAAATACAAAACTCTCATATTTATTTTTTAAAAATAATTACAATTTCTAAATTAACTAATATAAACAAAACCAATGGTTAAATAACGCAATATATTTCATACCTAATTATACGGGGGAAATGATAAAATAAAAGGAAAACTTATTAATCTAAATAAAAGCACTTGAAAATTATCGAACCGAAACGATAGTTAAAAAAGGCACTAGCATAACTATTGAAACCCGGAACAAGGCAAGATCAGCAAAATTTAAAAAAAAAACCTAATGATAAAAGTTATGAATAAAAAGAATTAATTTATTGAGTGCGGAATTTATCGAGAAAAGAAAAAAATATCAAACGTGGTGGAATCAGAAAAACAAAACTGCAATCTGCTTCATAAAATAAACCTATGTTTAAATTAATAAACAATTCTCCTTTTATTTTTTTGTTGATAAAAACACGATATTTAATTACAGTTGATGTGATTCCACAGCAATAAAAACTTGCAAATGATACCACACTTCCAAGGAATGAGAATTTATTCAGAAGAAAAAGTTCTTATTTTTATTAATCAATGTCAAATAGATAAATATATTTGTCTCTTTCATCTTTTGTTCCCTGATGTGCAGGCAATGCATTTTCCCCACCACCCTCGTAAATCAGGCAGAAAACCAAATCAGCATGCCACACCCTTGAGCTTGATTGACGGTCTAAAGGAGAAAATAAAACATTCCTCCCTTCAAGGTCACGGAGGAAATGACGTTTCTCTGGGTAAACGGGGAAATAAATTCTCCCCTTCCTTACATTTTCCTCTACTCAACTTCAAGGATGAATTCAATTTCCACTTTTTTTCATAATCGTTCTAGCTTAAAATGGTGGGAAAACAGATCAAATTTTTTCCCGGTTATCTGGATACCGGATAAATGGTTCTCTACTGTATATGGTAATTGCTTTTAACTGATGCTTTTAAACTTAATGGTGTTCAGTTAAAAAATAATTTCTAGAACTTTCTTCCAGGGTTCAGGTTTTGGACGTCCTAAACTTGTTTTGGACATGATCAATTTCTTGGACTTGTTTTGGGTTTTACTGACCTAAACTGACTAAATCTGTCTTAAAATGTCCAAAACCTTGAACTTTGTTAAAAAGGTAAAAATTCTTTTACTGTCTTAAAATGTCCAAAACCTTAAACATTGGTAAAAGGTAAAGATTCTATATGTATAACCATTGTACACATAAAAATTGCATTTATTAATAAATATTTGATGCTTTTTATACAATTTGCTTTAACTTATTACAAGAATATAATATAATATAATAGGAAAATATTTATATTTTTTGATTCTCCACAAGTCATTGAACAAAAGTGTATACCTTATCCTTTAAATATGAATAAATATGCTTTTAGTACTGATAAATTACGTTTTTGCCTAAAGATAAATAATGCAATATTGAAAGTAATTATAAACTTTTTAATGAAACAAAAAAATTTCTTCATTTTTCCTGTTAAAAAATAATTGTTTTTTTTTAAATTGTGACATAATTTGAAAAAAAGAAATTTGGACAAGGCGGTTTAAACTCTGATTTAGACTGTGAATTAATCCATTCGGTCCTAAACCTTGCCAACTCTTCTACATACTTTCACCACTATCAAGTTATACATATTTTTAAAAATCTATTTAATTTAGATACAATGCTTCCAGTTTATTCATTTCTTAAATATATAACTTAATATTCAAATTTTTTTTCTATTCAGGTTTGATGAAAAAGAGCATGTTTCTGGTGTTACTCAGTTGAAATCATCAGTACAGAAAGCTATCAGAACAAAGCTGCTAGAACAATTTCCCCACTTAGATGACTACATGAATCAAATTTTGCCTAAAAAAGAAAATTTACGTGTGGTCAAATGGTTAGTTTCTTTTTAAATAAATTATTGTAATTTTAAATTATTCTGAGTTGCGTTTAATAGGCATCGAAAATCGACTGATATAAGTATTTTCTTTCTCAATAAACCCAGCAACAATATTTGTTTATTTAAAAATCGAAGATTTATAGTGTTGGTCCCCTTTAGTTTTTTATACAATCTCTTATTTATTTTTTAAATAAATTAGTCTTTTTTAGAAAAACCCAAACCAAGTGAGATTTTAGTTTGCTGGGTTAAAGTGTTATTTAGAATAAAACTTTTTTGGTTTAAATGTTACTTTTTATTTGAAAAGAGAGCAATTTTACTAATATAGATGAAAGATGATTATTATTTTTATTTCAATTTTAAAAATTTCAATTATTTTTTTCATGACAAATTTTTTTAATTATTTTTTTAAAAGTGTTTTTCTCTTTTTTTATATCTTTCTTCCTTTCTTTTTTTTAAAATTTCTTTCCATGCTTTCTTTGTATTTTGTTTTATGATTTGAGCTTTATATACTTGTAGTTTTTAAATAAAATAATCTTAAAATCTTAATTATTGTCCTTCCTTTTTTTCTCTATTGCCATCTCATTCATATATATATATATATATATAACCTTGTTATTTCTTTATCTGAATTTTTTTTCTTAATTTATTATTAAAAACGAAGCGCATTCTCACATTCATTACTCACATCTGGCATTTGTGCAAAATGCTAAAATTGACATTTTAATATACATATGTATATATAAACTCATTTTATTTAAAAGATTCCAGAATGAAAGCATTTGAGTTTAAGTGATTAACATGAGATCCCACATAAACAATTTGTATTGAGTTAGTTTTTTTCATTCTCAGGATTAAAGTTATACACAAAGTTTTGTAGGGAGAGCTACAGTGACCTTTTTTCTCTCAACCAAACTCAAATTGAGTGAAGATAGTAAAGGGGAAAATGGACTTAATGTACTTTAAATAATTCTCAATTAATTTTCTCAATAGAACTGCCATTGGATATATACTCTACCCCATAGTAACATTTAAAACATAATTTTTCAAAATATAAGACTCATCCAACTCACAATTTATAAAATATAATGTGTAATAATTTAGATTTTCTATCTATTTTTTATTTTTTCTGTTACAAAATTGTACCATTTTAATTCTGCTATCAGCTTTTTTGAAAGATTGTTCAGTATTATGTCTTTTTCTGTTTTTAAATTTTTGATAAATACCTCTAAATCCAAATAAGATATTAAATCAGTTTAAACATCAATAAAAGTAAATAAAAAAGTGAATAGAACCATCCATTTTCTTTCTATTCAAATATATTTTACATCAATCCAAAATTACTTACCCTTAATTTTTTTTAGATTTACATTTCGAGAAAAAATCAAAAGGTGTTCCAAAAATTATCGAATGCTATTTTTTCTAATCTAATTTTACGAAGTGGTAGTCTATGATGAAAAGATTTTTACAAGCATAAAAACATTGAGAGAATGAAAAATGTAAATTAAAATTGTAACCTAAATTCCAAGATGATGATAGTAAAGGCTTCTAGATTGTTTAAGATTATACCTCTCTTTGTGACATAGAAGGAAAAGTGTGTAAGAATAAGTAACAGTAATCTGATTGATGAATATTTTGCCATTTTAACTTTCATGACTAGCTTGACCTTCTACTCAACCTTAATTTTCAGTATTGATTTTTTTTTATCAAAACCCCTTAAAGGAAATAATAAAATAGGTAATCACAGTAAATTTAGTTTTAAATCAACTTGTGTCTTGTCTTGAAATTCTGTGGAAGAAATGTGGCATTTAAGTTATAGTATCTAATACTAAAAGAAAACAAAAAAATGTTTATATTCTAAATAGAAAAAAATGTGCTAAAAAGTAGCAAAAATTTTAAAAAAAGTTGCAGTAAAGGAAATGAAGGAAATAAAAATATGACCACCGAAGCCGACGTCTTCAGGGCAAACAAAACTTCATAAAACAAAACCATTTCTATTGAGGGAGAAGCAAATGCCTAAATTAACTCCCTCAGTACCCTGATGGTTTTGTATAGAAGTCCAGAAAAAAAAACATGAAATACAAAGAACCAATTTAGAAAAGAAACTCAAACAAAATCATCAGAAAATAAAAACTCACTTAACCAGNAATTAACTCCCTCAGTACCCTGATGGTTTTGTATAGAAGCCCAGAAAAAAAAACATGAAATACAAAGAACCAATTTAGAAAAGAAACTCAAACAAAATCATCAGAAAATAAAAACTCACTTAACCAGGTCGAACAGCGATTTCACAAGCAAGCCGAATGAAAAGGAAACACTAAAAACTAAAGAAAGCAATGCCCTCTATTACAATGCGCAGATAGAAAATAAAAGAAGTCAAGAAAAGATACGTAACAAATTAATAGAATGCTTAACTGGGGCTGCTCAGTTAAGACTTGAATTGCGTCCTGTTAAAAGAAAAAAAATGTATAAAAACCTAGGATTCTTCAATCATTTTCTTAATTAAAAAATTAACATTACAAAAATTAAAAAGAAAATCATTGTTGCTCAAATTATTCACAGCTTCCGGAAAACTTTCAACATTATTGCAAATATTTTTGATCCTAACCAATTGTGAAAAAACTAAATTTTTAAAAATTTATTACACAAATTAGTATTAAAATTGCAGAAAAAATAACTCAAAATTTAAAAGCTTTTCTTTCATCAAGAACACCAATTTTCATAAAACTGTTAACAATATCATTTTTAAAATCTAAATATTCAACATTTAACTATTAATTTGTTATGTATCTTTTTCTTGACCGGTACGGTACCCCCTAAAGACGTCAACTTCGATGGTCATATTTTTATTTCCTTCGTTTCCTTTATTGTATCTAATTAACTTAGTTATTGTTTTTATATCTTAATCTAATATTAAATATTTGACAGTTTTTTATTTGTATTTCAGCCATGATCACATTGAAATCATTGTTGGTGCAAACGGCGAGCTTCTGTTCTTTCGACAACGAGAAGGACCCTATTTTCCAACACTTAGACTTTTGCATAAATGTATGTTAGTTTATTTATTCTGTTTGTGTTGCATAAAATGTCTTAAACTGATATTTTAGGTAAGGTTTCATTGGGTAAATGCAAGCTCTGAGAATGAGTATTCTTCTATTTATTATTTTGCCTTTAGAATGCTATTTGATTAGCTTATTTATAGTACACAATATCATTTTTATTTGGTGTAGTTTTTGCATTTGTTTTGGCTATAAAGTATAAAAGATACTGTTAAAGATAGTTGGTTAAAAAAGATAGTCATACCTTTAAACTCTATATTCTTGTAAATTGTTATCTATAGTTGCTAAATATACTAAATTTTTAGTAGACTATTAATTATTTTTTTCTTCAGTTCTGCATAGTCTTCTGATTTAATCTTCAACTCTTTCAGTTTTTTCATGGTTTTAAAAAGTTTTGGGGGAAAATTTTTGAAATCTGTATCAAATATATTGTTTACTGTGTTTATTGTTTGATTTTGAAAAATTGATACTAGTTATGATAAATTATTTCTATTTATTGTTGGTAACAAAGCTTACTCTATCATATGATCCTATTTGAGAAAGCTTTTAATGTGTTTTGGAAATAACTGAATTCTAAAGATGAATGTTTTAATAAATCTTGAATATTTTCTCTTAAATTTTTTATTTTTAATAAATTAAGTTTAAATAAATGTTATTTAGATTGAAAGCTATTAGTTTTTTTGAAAAAAACAAATTTGAAATTTATATTTTTAATGGAAAAATTTAGGAGAAAAATAGACAAATCATTTGTACAAGCTAGTCTAAATTATTTGCAACCCAATAAATTAGACTGGAGTTTAATTTATTTCTAGTCTAAGTTTATCGGATTTTTCACAAAATAAAGACCTCCACTCTAAAAAAGAACTTTTCATTATTTATATATATCTGTATCACGATAAAGACAAAAAGGATAAAAATTAAGAAAATTAATAATTTTTCCCTCTTCTTTTTTTTAAGCAAACCTTTTTGCAAATATAATCATGTGAGCTGATGAAGAGATTATATCTTTTAATTTTTTTTCTGGCATTTTAATATTTTTTTAAAATATTTTATTTCAATAATTTTATTCTTATCTTTAACTTTTTTGATGTTTTCTGTATGCTTTTAATATATACATATATATATGTAATACAAAAGTTATAAAATTACTTTTGTATTAATAAAAGCATTAAAACTTTTCGTGTTCATAAAATGCAGATATTCTATTTTGGGACTTCAAGGCTGAAAACATGCCAATGAATTATAATTAGATTTATGTTTCAAAAGAGGAGTTATTTTAAGATCTTTCACTTCCATATAAGGAAAGATTAAACGATTTTCCATGAGTAATAAATAATTTTAATGAGGCGTAGGAATACAATTAATGCAATATGACTGCCCTGTTTACACATTGTAAGTATCGTATAAAACCCAAGAGCAATGATTTTTGCTTGTCTTTTGTTGTTTCATGTTTACCACCTGAACTTCGTCGTTTTGACGGGAATCTGTATCTTTCCCCCTCCGGCTGGAGAGTGGGTGAGATTTCTGTTTACATCATACTCCAGTAAATAAAGCCTGTTAAAATCTATCGACTTATTATTTCTACAAATGTAAATTAAAAACAATAACCAAATATCGGGGTTTGTTAAACCTGATATGATATATATATATATCCGAAATGTATAGTATTACATTATGTTCATGTTTGTACTATACAAAGGATATATGCCATGCATGTGAAAGTGTGTTCTTTGGGAAAAAACGTCGTTGAACTCATCAAAAATAAAATGTACACATGATGCATTGATTGTAATTTTTTTTATATCAACCAACAATATATATATCAGTTTTTATGTATTTTATAGAATTTGCAGTAAGTTGATACTTTCATTAATATAGTAACTATATGGTTGATTATTTTTTATTTCTACCCTGTATTAGAATATTTAACATAAAAAAAAACAAGGTTACTAATTTTATGATAGTTGCAATGCATTATTCTATTTTTTACAGATAGTGCTAATGAGTGTTTAAAAGTTAATTTGTAAATGTATTTTATTGTTTCTTTAAATATTTCTTTGATATTATTGATAATTAAGTATTATGTTCTACCTTTAATTTTATAAACAAAGCAATCTCATTTTGTATGTAATAAACTCATTTTAAATAGAATATAATTTCATATTCAATTCTGAGATTTTAAAAAAGTCTACACTTGTCTATGGATGGTGTTTTCAGTAAAAATGTAAACAATGACAATCTCGAGCTGTATGCCTGCTCTAGTTCCGGTTAGAAAGTTTGCAGCTGCTTACTACATATTATTCTGCAAGGCAATATTTTTAAACTGATAATTTTGTTTTCAATAAAAGAAATAAATTAGATGATTTCTGAGCTCAAATCTGCCGTATTTCATAGTGTGTTATTATGTAATTCTGTGACTGTTATTATGTAATTCTGCAACTGTTATGTAATTCTGGTGAGTTTGAAGTGAAAATTCGTTTTAGTTATTTAGAGATATATTGTTAAAAAAGGTGACATGGTTGCTAGATTTTGAATAACTCGCTTTTTTGGCAGTCTTGATATGGTCTCTTTCCATAAGTTTATTACAGTTTGTTCTTGTTGCAAGCTGTACACCATCTTATGTTAGTGTTAAACTTTTAGCATTGTAAACACAAGTATTGTTAGCATTGTAAACACAAGTAATAAGTAATCAAATACATTGTTTGCATGAATCCCAAAACACAATGATGCCAAATGGCTGTAAAATACAACGGAAACAGTAACCCGGAAATTTAGGCGGTACCGAGCATGCGGCGTTCCCTAGGGTTGAAAACATCATCTATTGTGTATTATAAGACTGACCTACTAACTTATTTTTCTATTTTAAGAACACTTGGTTATTGAATTTTTTTGCAATTATAAGCTCATTCATTCTTTTATAAATGTAGCTTATTGTTAAATTCAATATTTTGTTAAAATAGAAAAAACAAAAATATCTTTTAAAAAACGCCCAAAAAATCTTTTTGATAAAATTCAAGGCACTTTTTTGTCAAGATTCTCATAGCAGATGCCCAGTAAAAAGAAATCCAGGATTTTCCCTTTATTTTTTTTATGGTTAAGAGAATTGTGGGGAGAGTTGTTATTGACAATGTCAACCTTCATCTATGAAAGCGTACCCCACCATAGAATCGAGTTAACATGTCTTATATTCTAGTGAATTGGAATTACATTTTTGTAGTGGTTGACACACTACAGTACTCCCCCACCAGAATTATATCTGTGATAGAATTCAATGAACTGATACCACTAGTTGATTCATTGCTGTTTTGTTAGAAGCCGGGAGAACTGTATTAAGATCATTGCACTTTTAAACACTGATCGTGAGAGCTGTATTAAGTTCACGGTCGTGGTCACTCCTGTGTTGCCATTAGCAGTCGANAGCATTTTTGAGGGGTCTTTTCGCATTTTGCGAAAAAAGCTACCGTAGCGGAAACCCTGGGAGGTGGGTAATGTTGCAGTCAGTAGTAGCAAGTCAACTGTTCAATGTGGACAAGTCACCGAAGAATGTGAGTTCAAATCAAAGTGGGAGTTTCTGTCAAGGTAGGCGTGTTCACATCATTTTCGAAGGTCACCAATATGGGGAGAGTAGATATAGACTATGTCAACCTTCATCTATGAAAAGGTACCCCACTGTAGAATCGAGTTAGCATGTCTTATATACTAGTGAATTGGAATTGAATATTTGTAGTGGTAGGCACACTACAATTATCTATTAAAATTTGCTAAAATATTTGTTTTTGTTTAAACAAATAATTTATAATAATAAAAACAGTCTTATGGTAATTGTATTCAAAATTAATTTAATAAAAACTTTTTATTTACAGATCCATTTATCTGTCCATGGGAACAAGTTGATAGAGGTGCTATTCGTTTTGTTCTTAGTGGGGCTAACATAATGTGTCCAGGTTTAACATCTCCTGGTGCTAAAATGACATCAGTACCTAAAAATACTGTTGTGGTATCCTTTCTTTTTTAACCATTATTTATACAAATTTTTATCATAATTTATAGATACAATATCTTTTGATAGCTAACTGCCTGGCGACAATGTCGCAGAACAGTACAGGGTTATTTCAGAAAGATTTTTCTTTTGAAAAGTAAACATATTTAGCTTTCTTTTCTACAGAAATTTACATGTAATATTTAACTCATTCATTTAGACTAATAACTTTTTGACACGCTGAATTTACCCGGATAGTATCGTAAATAGATGTAATTTTTCGATTTAATTTTCGGCAATTACTGATATTGATTTTTACGTGGTTTTTAAATATCCCGATATATTTCAAACAATATAGAAAGTTCTAATCATGTATTTGAGTATTTACTTTTCAAAGCAATGATTCTATCAAATTTTTGGCAGTTATTGCTGTTAATTTCTTCATAGCTTTTAAGTCCAATTTTTTTCGTACGGTGTTATTTATTGCAACAACCTAATCTCTAAATGAAACACGCATTTGAGTAATCCCTTTTTGGGGAGACCGATTCGTGTGTTTTAGTTGTCGATCTTTTTCCGTCAACAGATTTCATGGTTTTTATTGTGATCATTATTTACAAAATGACATGAAGGAAGTATATGGTGAGTTTTTTCCCCAACAACAAAATATAAGAAGAAAAAATTGCTACAAGTTTAATTATAAAAAAAAAAAATTTAATTTTTTTTGTTGTAAACACAGCACTTTTGTTATTTTAAATTAGTAGGGTGACCTGGGGTAATTCTTGATCAAAAAATGCCAACATCTCTTTGTGAAAAACTATTCAAGATAGAATTTTAATATTTACTGGAAGTTTGAGGCTATATGAGATGAGTCCTATGCCACCTTCTTTTGTTTGAAAATCTAATTAGAATTTAAAAGATTTTAAGTTTTTAGTGATCAGGAATTACCCCTGGTCTTGATCATTTCTGGGGTAATTCCTGATCACTTCTGGGGTAATTACTGATCACCAGTTTTTATTGTAAAGGGGCTGTTTAAAAATAATTATATAATGGTAATTAACAAATAAGACATCAAGATCAAACAAATAAACCAAAAAGATATGTTTAAGCAGCTAATAAAATGATTTATTTAAAAGCAAGAAGAACGATTAACACTTTAAATTTTCAAAAATCTTTGCATCGTGCCATACATTTTAGGCAATCAGCCAACTCATTCTCATGTTCTGCTGAAATATAAGAGAGTTCCCACATGGGTTACTTTCGCTGGCTTTTTTAACTTCATTAAGGGAAAGTGTAAAGATAAGTAAGGTATGTCAACAGCTCTGGCAGGAGCTCTCACACTTAAATTTTCATTTTCAATCATTAAAAGAAATTCACTAATTTTGTTTTCTAGAATCTTAGTATCCTTTTTAGACTTATAATTTCTCACCATATTTATACTAGGCTAATTTATAAACTTAAAAATTATTCTAACAATATTCACACATAAAATTTAGATAGAAGCAAGGTAAGACAAACCAGAAATGGTGCAAATCAGATTGTAGTCTTGTATTCAGTTAAAAACAAATTTTGTGATGACAGTTGAAATATATATTTTATAGTTGTTCCACTTAATAAATATGAACTGTTATTTAAGAAAAGACAATTAGCTATTTTATATACTAGTTATAAGAAGAAATTGACAATGATCAGGAATTACCCCAGTGATCAATAATTACCCCATCTGTAGGGGGCAACATTTGATATAGTTTCCTATAATTAATTATAATGTTTACAGTAGATGTGAAACAATTAAACAAAAGCTTACACTATTTTTATATCAAGGAAAAAAAAAGTAACTCAAATAGAGATTTGATTCGACATTTTAATTTTGTGATTAATTTTCAATATTTTAAGTAATCTATATCAAACTGTTTTCTTGTAAGTGAAAACAAAAATCCGTTTTTTCTTTAATTTGATGAAAGGCTATAATGGCTGAAGGAAAAGAACATGCTTTGGCAATTGGACTTACATCATTGTCTACTGAAGAAATGTGAGTATTTATTTTGTAATTTTTTCAATCTACCTTTGTTGTAACCTGATACTAAATAATAATATTTTTGATACTATGAATGAACATAAGTGAAGAATAAAAATATTAAGTTAAGACTTTCTACAGTAGGACTGTCTTGGGGAAAACCAATTTTCCATGTTATTGATTTGTCGAAACTCAGTAATCCTCAAAATATAACATTTAGTGATCCAATCGTTATTTTTGTGAAAAATGGGCACAAAGTATTTTTCTCCCAGTTTTCAGCTACGAGTCATTTTTTGAAATCTGAGCCAGATATTCAATATGGTAGATTGAGGCTGAAATTTGGAGAGGTTAAAGCCAAAATGTAGGAAGTCAAAGTTCCAATAACATATCTTCATGAGATTACTTACTAAAGGATAAATAAATTTCTTAATTTTTTAGCTCAGCGCATCTCATCTTTAACAGTTACTTGGTGTTAAGCTGTAAATTTCACCAGAGGTGCAGAATATGTCCAGTCGTACAAATAAGTTCCGAGGAGAATTCTTGTTTAATTTTTTTACAAAAAAAACAATAGGGCTACAAATCTTTTTATTGTTAAAAAAAAAAAAAAACCCTGCTGCTTTACAAAATTTTTCCTGTTTATTCAAGAATTGCGTATTGAAATTTATTTTTGTTCAAAAGACAAAAATTATCAAAAAATATTAACTATATATTAATTTTTCTAAAAATATTTTGAAAAAGTTGTTGCAGCTAAGTAAAAATAACCTATATAATTTTGGGGGGAATTTAAAAAAAAAAGAAAACAATTTTGGAGACATATTAATAATTTTCTGTATCCCTGAATTTCACATCTTAAGAGAGCATGTTTAAGAGGACACTATACCTGAAAAAGTTTTCATCGCAAATTCTGTTTCACTTCCATGCTAATTTAATGCCTAGAAAAAGTAAGTTCAGACAACCTAGGGTAAGCCTTGAAGTTTTTATTAGGTACTAAAAATAAAACTCAAAATATTAAAATAAAACAAATTATTGGAAGAGAACTTCCTCATTGCATAATCCAAAGTCATCCTCACATAATTATTATTTTTCATTTCAATGCTTTGAAAATAAATTTCTTTTCAGTGTTTGAACCTTTATAGCTTTACTCTAGGTTTGCCTCAACTCTTTTTTTCTATACTTTAAACAAGGTAACCGCACACCTGGAAAGTCATGAAATATCATAAATTTCGGTATTGAACAAAATTTGTCACGATTTTAACTATTTTTTTAAAAAAAAAAATTGTGTTAATTCATACATTAAGGTCACTAAAAAATCTTATTTTTAAAATGGATTACCTCCCCAGGGGTGATTGTGAGCCCAAGTCAAAATTCTGGAAAATTTCTTGAGTTAAAAAAAAAACCGGTTTAAATTGAAAAATCAGAAGAAGAAAAATTAAACTAGGTTTTTTTTTCTCCTTTTCTTCAATATTTCTTAGTTTACTTAAAATATATTTAAAATTTTACACATGTCTATGATAACCTGGAGAAGTAATTAAAATTTGCAAGTATGTCTTTCTTTCTTGAGTTTATGATTATAACAACTATTTATTCATAAAAAATGAATATCTATCATGAATATAAGCTTATAAAGTATCTGGCTCTCCCTTACAAACAAATAAAATAAACTGTGTTTTTAAGTTCCACCTTTGAAAATTTGATTTCCGGAAACTTCTGTGATCAATGATTTTTTTTAAATGTCTGGACCTTCGATCTCTGGATCACTGTTAGTGAAAAATACGAAAATCCGGATTTTTTCCCGCAGCACAATCAGCCCTGCCTCCCCAATTTCCCATTGTTCTGAATATCTGAATTTGTAACAAAATCCCCACTCTCAGTCACATTTTATTAAAATATAAAATGTTCGTATCATGTTTTTAAAAAAAGTATGGTGTTCCAAAAAAAATGAGCAAAAGAACATCATTTCTAGTGCGAATTATATTTTAAACTTCCAGGATTTCTGAATTTATTTAATCAATTTAAAAATTTTAGTTGAAGCAAGCCAGTCATTGGCAATTTTTGTTTTATTCCCAAACGAGTACACAAAAATCAGGAGCATTTCTTTTTTTGCTGATGAACAAGAAAAGTATCCTTAGAGTATGATTCTGCAGAAAAGAAAACCAAAATTTTTAAAGTTCCAAAAGAAAAATCCTTTTGCCCTTCTGCAAGAATTCAATTGTGTTCTGTGAAGCTATATTGCCCGTGATTCTGCCACAAGGCTTTGAGAGTGGCCATCAATGGTATCCAATGGTTAAAGGCTGCGTCCTTTAGTGGATAAAGGAGAATTATTAAATTTATTGTTGTTTTCTTGTCTGAGAAAATAATAACTACGGTAATTCATGAAAAATTCTTCAAATTAGTCATAGATTTGAAAATCTAAAATGTAGCAGATACCCTGTTTAAATTACTTATGGAAGTGACAGAGAATTTATGATGAAAAATTTCTCCCACGGTATATCGTCCTCTTAATGTAGTGTAATGGAATGTGTAAGTAGTAAACATACATTTGTTATTCTAACTTCTTACTTATTAATTTTTATAATAAACAACTGATTAAATACATGTAAATAAAACTTTATTATATATATTCAAAATCAAATAATGATTTTTTTTTAATGGGTTACAGCGTAATAGGTAGAAGGTTCTGAAATAATAATGCGAAATCAATATTTTCACATCTTTTGATAGAATTCTGTCCTGTTCAGTTTCATATATATCTTTCCCGCTTCTAAAAATACTCTACTCGAATAATCTCCTGCAATTTTGATTTTGAACCTGAATAATCTTCTATTCAAAGATTTACTATAAAATGTTAAAAAAAAAAGAAGAAAAAAAAAGAGCCACGCATACCAAAAGAATTGGTCTGAATTTATATATGGTTTTGCTTTTATTGGCCACAGTTATACTTTTTCTGAATTGGTACAAAAAAGAAAGGAATTTTTTTTCTTCAAATTTTAAAGTAATAATTGCATTAAAATTGAAACTCCAGTGCACATGTTAAATATAAATAATTTCACTATGCTATATTTTCTCTAAATATTACTTTATCAGCTTATTTACGGGCACGGTAGCCCGGGGTTGGCCCTTGCTGCAACATTTTTACTTGTGGCCACTTGGCAGTTCAACATACTGATACATACCTGCCAACTTTTACGCATTTGGTGTAAAATTTTATTTTTATATTTAAAGTGGTTGTAAAATGTATGATTTCTATAGATTCCTTGCACTTATAAACTTAATTTATAATCTTCTTGACCACCACTATTTTTAAAAAAAATTAAGCAGATATATTAATATGCAAAACTGTTGTGGTACAGCGCATAAGCTTTATTGCATAAACTAAATTAAATTTCCTTTTGGGAAAATCATTCCCTAAAGGATTAAAAGATGGCAGTTATGCTGATAGTTTTCAAATCTGCATTAATGGAGTTCAGCCATCAAAGTTTTAGGCTTCCTTTAGCTCTGATATCAATTAGTTCATATTTGAAATGTGTTGATGTAGTTGTATTTAAACCACAAATGTGTTCTACAAATCGGTTCTGTTTACCTTTATAAATTTTATGACACCAATAACCTCATAAATTTTGTAATATCTAAATATTACTGGGGAATTTAAAAACTTTTGCTGAAAATAGATTTATGATTTTTAAGATTAGAGTTTTCATAATAAAGAACAATTGTCATCGTTCAATATTTTTTCTGTATTGATCCCTCCTGTCAAATAGGTTTCGACGTTTTCATGATTCATTATATTTAGATAATACTTTAATATTTAAGTAAGGAAATAAAAAAAACTAAGTTTGATATCTAACTGGATACCCTCTAATGTACTTATTTTATTTCTGTTTCAATTGTTACAAATATTCTACAACTATATATTTAGCTGTCATTTGAGTTGAGTACACCCTGTATATTTTATTAACTTCATTGTGCTTTTTAAGAAGAGATTTATTTAATGATTTTTCTTTTCTTTCTAGAGCTAAAGTTAACAAAGGTATAGGAGTTGAAAATATTCATTATCTTAATGATGGTCTTTGGCAAATGAGAACTGTAAAATAATTAATTTAATAAAATTATGCTTTTGATATATTTGTTCCGTTCTATTTTTATTTGTGACCTGTGTAATTATTATGTAAATACCTTTGTGTGTAAAGAGTACAAGTTGTCTTTACAAAAGATATTACAGTTTATATAAAACAAAAAGTTTTAGTTTTAATTCAAACCTTTTATTTTAGTTACATTGAACATTTTATGTATAGTTTAGTAATTAAAGTAAATAAAAAGTTTTTTTTTTTTCGAAAAATATATTTTTTGCTATAAAAAATACCTGAAAATGATCCTACTATCCTCTGTTAGCTTTCTCCCTTTTTTGTTGTTGAGGGATCTTTTAATTTCTTATCAGATGAGGAATTAACTGAGTGAAAACTTCAAAAATATATACATAGGAAATATCAGTTGACATTGTTTGAAGTGCTCACTTTCAAGACTTGCCAGAAGTCAATGAGAAGAAACTAAAGTGATTTGAAATATAAAACGTATAGTAGCCAATGGAAAAATAGAAACAAAACTAAATAAACGCGAAGGATGAAAGATAGCAGAACAAGAAAAACCACAGAAGGGCAAATCAGGTTAAAATGTGTTTCCACACACTATGGAGGGTTGGTGAGGAACTAATGCGATTGACAAGTGATTTAATAGCTTTAGTCCCTCACAACCTCTTCTTAGCGTGTGGAAATGCATTTTACCCTGATTATTTTGTTTCACACAATTACATCGTTTGAAACTTAGTCATCAAAAAGAAATTCAATTCTTCTCTTCATTTTACTCAAAAAGGAAAGATGCACACAGCATTATGGGTTTTTATTATTTGTAATGTTAATGACATAGCAAAGTTTCTATAAAAATATCTTGGTTCTAAATTTTTCTGAAATTTTTTTTACCGAACAGTCAGTAGAAACCAGGGCTGTGTTCAAACATTTTTCAATAAAAAAAAATCATTAATACATATTTTTTTTATATATTAATAAAATTAATCATTTTTGAAAATTAATCAAAACTTAGCTATATTAATGGTGTGGGATAAAGAGAAAAAATTATAAAAGTTATCTATTAGAAATATTTAAGATAAATAAAAACTAACTAATAGCTACAAAAAAAAACAAAAAAAAAACTGAAGTTGTAAAGTTTAATAAAAAAGAAAGAGAAATAGCAAAAAATATTCTCTTGATTTTTATGACAAAACTTTAATGCTGAAAATAGTATTTTCCGAAAAAAAAGTAAACATAAAACTTTAAAAGACAAGAGTCTATCAGAAAAGCTTTTAAAAATGCCCACAAAAAATTATACACAAAAGCGAAACATAAAAAATAAAAATCTATCATAATTAAACTGAACATCTGTTTAAAAAAAAATACAGCATAATTGGTAAAGGGTAGAAAAAAGAAGTCTAATAGCTCCGCCATAATAAAACTCCTCATAAAAACCAAAGTTTTTAAAAATAGAGAAACAAAAAAAAATCGTTCTAAATTTTTTAAAGAAAATTTAATGCTTTTTCAAACAGTGGCGATCAAAAATAACGTTCCTCAGAAACGCTCTTTAAAAAATACTGTATCATAATAAAAACTTTGATAAAAAGTTAATAAGAAAAGACAGAAAAAAAAACATTCTTATTTCTTAAAATATAACTTTAAGATTGAAAATCATAGCATTTTTTTGTTACCAGCTATCTGTCTTACTATACTAGAAAAAAGTAAGAATAAAATCTATCATAAAATGCTGTGCTATAATCAAAACAGAACAAAGAAAATCTGGATTCTTAAAACATAAATTTTGCTTATCCATTTATCTTTCACAATATAATTTTGCAAGCACATGAATATTAAAACTTAACAAAGATGTGTAAAGACTATATCTGATAATGCATAATGAAAATACTATTTTAGATAACTTTTTATTTAATCTATCAGGGCTGATTGTGTTCCGGAAAAAATCCGGATTTCCGGAATTTTCGCTAACAGTGATCCGGAGGTTTCTGGAGATCGAAGGTCCAGACGTTTCAAAAAATCATTAATCACAGAAGTTTCTGAAAATCAAATTTCCAAAGGTGGAACTTAAAAACCAAATTTTATTTTCTTTGTTTGTAAGGGAGAGCCAAAGAGATACTTTATAAGCTTATATTCATGATAAATATTCATTTTTTATCAGTAAATAGTTGTTACAATCATAAACTCAAGAAAGAAAGAAATATTTGTAAATTTTAATTACTTCTTCAGGTCATCATAGGTATGTGTAAATGGTATAGGTATGTGCAAAATTTTAAATATATTTTAAGTAAACTAAGAAATATTGAGAAAAAGGAAAAAAACCTTGTTTAAATTTTTTTTCAATTTAAACTGTTATTATTATTATTTCTTTTTAACTCAAGAAATTTTCCGGAATTTTGATTTTGGCTCACAATCACCCTTGATCTATCAAAACTTAGAAAAAAAAATACTTGGCCGAATGCCAAATAGTAATCGAATATTTGTTGCATCCCTAATTTTCACACAAAAAAAATAATTAATAAAAATCAATAATTTCAGGCGATTTTGCATCAATAACTTTTTATATTTATTTACATTTTATATAGAGCACATTCTATACTGTATTTAATCCAAACAGTGCTCTTTGTAAAATTCATTGATCATATTTTCTTTAAACTAATAAATATCTAAAATCAAATGTTTAAATAATGTTGTGTTCAAGCAGAATTATTATTTTAATCAATATGCAATATTAAAAAATTAATGTTACAAAGGCAAAATTGTGAAATTTATTATTGCATATCCTATGGAAAAAAACTAGATAAATTCTTTATATTTTATTCTTTTCTAATATGAAATTAAAATATTTAAAGAATTTTTATCTAACTAAATGATTTTTTTAGCTTAGATTAATTATTAGTATTTTTTATTTTCTTTACAACTAGAAACCTGCAGTGCAGAACAAAAATATACCTAGTTTCCTTCTTCTTCGTAATAAACACATATTAATAAAAAAACTTATATCCTATGTTTATACAACATTTAACATGTCTCCCATACATTCCCTAATTTTTACCAGCTCCTTAAGGTAAAAAGAGAAACAGTTTCGGAAATATCATATCGGGAAAAAGAGTAACGAACTTTCGACAATGTTATTACTACACAATGTCGAATTTTGAATTGGACCTTGTGAATCAAATTTTAAAGCAAAAATCTTAATTTTGAATCAAAAATAGATTATTTACCAACAGAACGTTAACATATGGTCGGTCTTTAAAAGAACATTTTTTTAAAATTAAAATATGTTATAAAAGGTTAAAATCAAATAGAGAAAATTAGCATCAATGCAAAAATTATAACAATTTGTTGACAAACATTGCTGTTAGCGATTATAAGAAAACATGTGATTGATTGGCTTTGCTGAGAAAAATAATTCACCGATTTGGATGGGAGTACAAAAGCTTTTAGAAAAAAAGTGTAACATAAAATCTATTAAATTATGACCAACTAATTTGTGGGGAATTTTATGAAATTAAAAATACTAAAACATTCTTAATCATTTAGTTAGAAGGAAAAAAAAAACTTAAAGCATCGGAACAAACTTGAACGATAATTGGATTCAACCCACAGATTAGAAGTGAAACAAATGCTACTTTTATAAACAGAAGCAAATATTTTAACTCCTTCTTCAACTACAATCTTTGCCTTTCCTAAACTGTATTCAAGGGTTCTATGTGTCATTCTAGTTTAACAGGGATTAATGGAGTAAATTTTGACGCATGCAAAATATTATTAAGTTGATATTTCAACTGTTTGGCAATAAATTTCCATCTAAAAAAAGTGGGTATAATGGATAAAATAACTTTAATTAAGAAAATCTATAAAAAAATTTCCAGCTTTTCTTTAAAATTCCCTGACTTTTCCAGTATAAAAAAAAAATTCCCTGATAATTCCAGGTTTTCAATGTGGGTGGCCACCCTGTAAATGTAGTTTAACATGTGTATAGTTTGTCTACAGTAAGAACTCCCCCTGCTGCTATGAAAACAAGGATAGCTAATTTCAGGGGGGATCTTCTCTTCACTTTAAGGCTAATGCAATAGATCGAAGAAAAATATTTATTTTCTCTCACCAACGTGAGCCAAAACCTGTCCTAAACAATGACCCCACACTCCTACTTGAAATAGTTACACTTCGTTACCAGAGACGCTGCTGCGGGTCCATACGAATGGCATGGGGAGTTTTTAATTTAGACAAACTATATATTGTAAAAATATTGATTTCCAAATTCTCATATATCAATACTCTATTAATTTAGTGGCAAGAATGACAGAATATTCTGCAGTTTTTGTGTTGGCTGCACAATCCGTAAGATCCATTGAGAAAAAAAAAATTTCTTTCTGTGTAGAACGGACTAAGTTCTTATTTTTCCAAGTTTTTTTTTTTTTTGCTTTTGTGTTTAGAGTTCAAGATGATAAAAGGAGTGTGATGCAAGAAACATTTTATTACCTTAAATGAATTGAAATTAAATCTAAAAACAGTTGACATAGTAAAAAAACTCTTAACAGGAAATAAAAATACTAATTTGAAAATTCATTGTTTTAACATAAGAAAATCACACAGGATACAATAAATAATACATTTTTTTAGCATTACATAAGTATCTATCATTTAAGCATGGTTATGAAAATCAAATCATCATTACAGTGAAACCTCACTTCACCAGGTTTCCAAAATCTATAGAAGACTTTCTATGAATCCCTGTGGCAGAATTTTTTTGGGCTTTCTGTGACAAACCTCTCTAATAATATCTTTCTGCAAGATACTTTTAAACATTACAAATATACATGTTACTAATTTAAAGTAACAGAAGCGTCAACTTCAAAGGAAATAAAACTTTTAATTGAATATGTAATATTTTTTAAATTCTAATATGTCGCATTACATTTAAAAAAATCTGTGAAATCCGTAGCTGTAACTACCGAAAAAAAAAAAAAAAAGACAGACGGCAAAATCACACAAATCGGACTCTTCAAAAAGGGGTTACCTAAATGCGTGTTTTCAGTTTGAGATTCAGTTGTTGCAGTAAATAATACAGTATTAAGAATATTTGATTTTAAAAGCTATGTGGAAATCAATGGTAAAATAGAATGAAAAAAAAAAAATGAAAAGTGCATAAAAAATAGAATGAAAATTTCTGCAGAAAAGAAAACCAAAACTTTTTACTTCATTGCTCTTTATTTTTCATTATCAAATGAGAACAGAAAAATCACAAGCATTTTTTTTTCTCCACTCCAATGCGCGATAAAAGCATCTTTTGAATATAATTCTGAAGAAAAGAAAAAAAAATCTTTCAAAATTTCTGCAGAAAAAAAAGCAAAAGTATTTTACTTCCCAAAGGAAAAATCTTTCGGTAAGAGCTCAGTACCGTTCTGCGACAATGTCACCACGATTCTATCACATGGCCATGAATATACCCTTACAAAGGGTGGATATTTTTTTAATTCGATTAATTTCTTAGACATTCCCTGAAAGCAGTATACTTCATATTTTTATGAATTTTACATAGATGTGAATGCATAGCTGCCAACATGGATAGGAAAAAATCCAGTAGATTTTACGTAATATAAATTTCATGATAATTGTTGCATAATGTTCTAAATATTTTACACACAGCGAAATTTATAGTGATCAAAATAGGAATACTGCAATATTTTCTGGTTATGATTTCTCATTCAATGATATTGAAATGTTATGTATTATGTTTATTCATAATTTTGAATAGTAATAGGCATTTAATTCATCAATGATAGTTGACTGAATTTTATAAATGAGGCTCACTTTATTATGTATTAGTGACACTTATTTAAATATTCAAGCAAGCAATCTGCACAAAAATTCTACTTCAATAGAGATTTTTTAAGGAAACTTACTCAATTTTAAAGATTTTTTTAAAATGTACAAAACCGGGAGAACTTTTATTAAACCAGGAGACACTGCCAAAATCCAGCAGTCTATTCCAGTAGAGTTGGCAGCTATGTGAATGTCCTTAAGGGATATTGAAGGGTGGGGTAAACATTTTTGTGCTGGTAATGTGAAGAAAGAAATAGTATAATTAAAACTTCTTGCATATAATTGAAACTTGATGAATCATTGCATTATTATTTATTGATTGTATCGCAAAATTACAACAACTACCTTTCTTGAGATTTGAATAAACTTAAAATAAATATTAATGTAATTCCTTATTTTGAATTATGTAATTTTGAATTATATACAAACATGTAAAAAAATTAAATAATTTGTTTTTTCAACATTAGATTAGTGCGTCCTAGTCCTTACCAAGGTTTCACTGTAGATACATATATAATTTTGCTTGAACAATTACAAAAAAAGGTCACTTCCAGAAAAAAAATTCCCCGACTTTTCCAGGTAAATTTCAGTGAAAATTAAGACCATCAGAAAATTTTTATTCTTTTATTTATAATGTGAAATATTAGATTTTCTGTATAAAAAATATTATTAAATGAGGAAGGGAACATTTCAGTTTGATTGAAATTTTTACAACAGATCATTGTAATAGAGGTTAGAATTATTTAATTCAAATCTCAATAACTGATTACTATTACTGACAATTTTAAAACTAGTTATTTTCCAGGCATAATATTCCAGGTTTTTATAAAAAAAATTTCAACTTTCAGTGACTATTCCTTGATTTTTTGGAGTTAAAATTCCCAGACAATTCCAGGTTTTCCCCTGACCCATGGGAACACTGCAATTATGTCAAATAACAAAAATTTTTAAATAAATTAAGATAACTTGTATGTTTAAGGTACAAACAAAAATATGTCAATACAAATTGATAGATAATTAACTAAAACTTTGTTAAGTGCTTAATTTTTTAGTTAAATGTAAATGAAAAGTTAAAAAAAAAAGATTAATGGCAGCAAAACAATTTATTTCAAACTATCTAGTTTCTAAAAATATACATAACACAGAAATGATAATGATTACAAAAAGAAGACTAAAATTCTAATTCAAAGTTTCATACAAAGCTTATAAGGCGACAATGTTTTTAAAAATATACATAGCACAGAAATGATACTGATTACAAAAAGAAGACTAAGAAGATTAGTTTCTTCTTAATTTCCTGAAATGATAAAAACAATATTTTATTTTTAAGTTGAAGTTATGTATTCTGATTTTTATATTTAATAGAGAATTACACACACACATATACAAAGTTTATAACACAGAGGTTCTAGTTGACCAGAATATTTAAAAGGCAATTACAATTAAGTTAGCAAATGTGTTAGTTACTGTTAAAATTCTCCAGTACTAAAAAACATCAAGATATTTAAGAAGTTTTCTGTTCTAGGGGAGATTTTGAGACTTATTACTACAGTATGTACTTATTACCATGATTGATTAAGCATCACTAGTGCCAATAATAGTTTCTATAGAAATAAAAAAAATTTTGTACTTATCTTTTAATTCAATAATTGTGTCCTTAAATCCAGAAAATAAAATTTAAGTTAAGAGAAAATGAATAATAACAATATTTGATTTTTTGCATAACAACAACAATAATAATTAAAAAAAATACATGTCGGTAAAAAATCTAAAAAAGGCACTCAATAAAATTCAGAGTGATATGATTTTACACTATATAATAAAGTAACATTTTATTTCTTGAATATCAATAATAAAAAATACACTCAAAAAATATTTTAAGTACTATGTACATTAACAAAATGCAAAATAATTTTCAAAGACTTAGCATAATCATGATAAAATAACTAGTTTTTGACAAAAAAAACTCTTTTTTTGATTATATTAGCTACCATAAAAAGATAGAGAGATTTTTCAGTTCGATTTTAGAGGGTGGAAAATGAAACCTGAAACTGAGAATATCTTGCAACATGCAGCAGAGTTGCACATGAGAGTGCAAGAATCTCACTGAATCCAGTTCAGTAGAAGAACACGCGGACTCCCAAGTATTTTAACATGATTGGTGCTATCATACATTACGGACCGACGGTAGGGAGAAATGAATTGTGGTTGAAGAAATTGTGAAAACGTTGACTAATATGAAAACCACGTTTTTGCGTAATACATGGCGAAAATCGACATGGAAAAGCAAGAAAAAAAATCTAGTTTTAGACAGGGTTCATTGATTTAAATCATCTGATTTATATCAATTTTAAAATCCATATATATATTGACTTTAAAGGTTAAAAAACAGTGTTTTAAATTATAGATACTTTTATTATTTTCTTTTCTTAGTTTTAAAATTTATTTTCAATAAATTGCTGTGTTAATTAATTTTAGTTAACGAAATTACTTTCTTTCTTGGTGTATGTTAAATTCCAACACATTCGAAATAAAATTTTAAAAATCTTTTGATTCTTGAGATTGAAAGTACAGATTAAAGTTCACATTTAATGCTGTCTTATTATAGACTTACATAGCTGTAGAAAGTAATTAATAGACATGAATTTTGAAAGAAAAAAATGCAAATAATCTCAGGGTTGCCATAGTAAAAAATGAACAAAAATATGAAAATAGTTGCCTGAACAGGAACAAAAATTTATCAAAAATAGTAGCCAAATAACTCAAATTATAGCTTAATTGTCAAGTACTATATTAGGACTGGGTGATGTCAGAAATTTTAAATTGTGATACATTATCAGTTTGACATCGCGATATAGCGATGTAATCAAAAATAAATAAAAAAGGAATGAATCTATTACAAAAGAAAATATTAATTCTAAACATATTCTACTATGACATCAATATCACTGTTTAATTTTTTTTCAATTAAAATAATAAAGAAGTCAAAGTAAAAGCAAACCCAAGCTTTAATTTATTTTTCTTAAATTAAAAATGATTTAAGATTTATTGGTTTAAAAACAATAATACTGTAACAAAATATTTTACATGCGTGCACATTAAATCGTTAAACCGCGATTGTAATCTAATTCCGGTAACTTAAATCAGATTTCTGATGCACTACCTAAAACGAAAGTCACTATATCGTCCTACCGATGTATTCGTTAAATCGATATTTTGCAATAAATCTATTTATCGCCCAGTACTAACTATACTCGAATTAAAACAAAGTTTTGTACAAATATAAAAGGTATACATATTAGAAAATAGGTACCTAAATAAAAGTTGAATTATAATAAAATATGAATGTTAATAGAAGAAAAAAAAAACAAAAATAACAAAACTGCCCCTCAGAGAGAAAAAATAACAAGTACTTTATTCAATCTAATGGAAATATAAATTTTCAGCTATTTGGACATAAATGATTGTATAAAAGTTTGCTTTCTTTTACTAAAGTTCTGAAAAGTAACGCTCATTTTTGGGAAAAAGCTTCGCTAAGAGTAAAAAAGTCTCCCAATAGTCGCCTATTCCTGAAAAAAGTTGCTTTTTAAGCCTTTTCATGCAAAAAAAAGTCGCCAACGCTGAAAATAGTTGCAAATAGTCTCATTTTAGTAGTCTGTGGCAACTCTGTAATCTTAATTAAAATCCTACCTCTTGATTGAAACAGCATGGAATTAAAATTGACATAATATTTCATTGATGGAAAATGTATATTTCTAAAGCTTGAGGTTATATTAAAAAGAAATTACCCTAATATGCCAAAAATAGAAAAAAAAAGGCAAATTAATTCAGATATTTTTTCCTGATATAGTGTCATTCTTCCCTTTCAAAGTCTATTGAATTATTAACTGGTATTTTTTTCTCATAATATGTTTACAGTATCTTTGACATTATCAGATTTTCTATTAAGAAATTTTGTGAAAAAAATTTCAATGAGTGCATAGATTTTTTTAAAAAACTTTTTCAGCTGATCTATTTTGATATAGAATTAAAAATGAATATTTTAATATAAAAATATATAGATTAAATATTTATTTATTTTAAAAATCAAGAGAAAAAAACACAATTTTAAAATAAAATTATGATTTGCTATTTGAAACTTTAATTTATTAGTTAAAGAGTCTGTCCAAGCCAAATTTGCTACTGCTTAGGGTACCTTCACAAATTCAACTTTGGAAATCAACAAAGGATAAACAAAATACTTTTTCTAAAAATTTTATTTTCGTGTTTCGTACAAAACGAATAAATCCATATTTTTGTGTTGATTTCTTAATATTATTTTTAATTTTCACAAATTATGTCTAAATTTTCACAAAATAAATACCTCTCAGAAAAACCTAGACATACCACTTTCATTAAATTCTCTATTTCATCTAGTCTTCAAATTTCAATTATGCATTTGTTTCAAAATGGTTGCTATGCATTCAAAGCTATGTATTGTAATGAAAAATTATATTAGTAAGTTAGAGCTTCTAAAATATTCATATAATATTGTTTTAATATTAATTTAATTTTGATTAAACATTTATAAAGTATTTTTAATCATAAATTAAAGTTCTTACAATGTGTTTGAATAAAAATAAAAAAAAATTCGATTTAAATATAAAAAAAACCCACGAACCCTGGTTTTGGAAGAAGGAAATCAAGCACTTTTTAAAAACACCCCATGAAAAAAGCACCTTTAAGGACTTTTAAAGAATGAAAATCAAAAATAAGAACATTTAAGCTTTTTTTAAAAACACTACACACAATGTCAATGAGAAGTGATTTAAAAGATCTCAATCTTTACTTCATGGAACATATACTTACTAAATCTTTATACTTTTTTGTCAATATTAACTCAAAGTAACATGACACACTTTTTTAATCAATAATGCATTAGTAACGAACAAAAGGACATATTTGTTTTCAGACACAAAATAAATGGGCATTATAATCAGGGATTTTATATGTAATCACATTAAAAAACCAATTATATTTCTATAAAGATATACAAACAAGTAAAATACATAACTTAGGAACATATTTTTAAGAATTGTTTAAATTAATTAAATAAGGAAAGTATTTTTAATTTCTTTTTAAAATAAAAGTGGAGTACATACCGATTCAGGCTAGGTTCCTTAAAGTTTACTGTTGGCCGATTACGCCTACTTCGTCCTCCACTTTCTAAGTCAGGAACAACGAAATTCTCTAAAATAACATATTGAAACATAAGTGTATACTTAAGATAGTCCAAGATTTGAAACTAAAAGAATATTTAATTCCCATCAATTATATTTAAAAATAATATATTTCTGACACGTCACAATTGTTGGCAATTTTGTTTACAGGTAAAACAAAAATTCTATGTAAAAAAGACACTGCCAAAAATCTCAGATATTATGATTTTGTAAAGCCATCTCTTAAACTACATTGCCTTATGTTTTTATTGATAATTATAAATATCAACTGATATTTTTTTATACTTGAACAATGAAATTAAACATCGGTATTTATTTTTTTCCTCTTCCAGAAATTATATTGCTAACAAATTATTAAATTATGTATATACGCATTTAACTTACTTGGTACCAAAATTTCAAAAATTTTTCTATTTAAGTTGACAACGATTGAGTCGTACATTTTATCTTGTAGTACACACTAAAAAACAAACAAATGCTGATTTTTAAGTTTAAGCAAAGCTATTTTAAAAAAATATCAGCAACCTTGATAATTTTTACATACAACTCACTAAGGTTTTCTCTTTTTTTATTTTATTTTACCCTTATATTCGTTAGATAATAATATTTTAATAAAACAGCATATAAAGTTAACAGTAACAGATCAGAATTCTAACTTATAATGAGAGGTTTTCCAACTGATCTTTTTCTCTTTAAAATTTATGTTTACCAGCGTTGCCACTCAAATCTGTAAAAAAAAATTCCATGTGTATTCCCTGTAAATATTACACACAATATATTAAGAGGAAACGACTGTGCTCATGTGTGAGCTACATTGGGCTAACTATATAAGTTCTAATTTTTAGAAAAACAGCTGTATAATGCTATAGTAAATGAAATAGTTTAGTATAACTGAAATATCATAGTTAAATATCCCATAGATTACGCTTGAGTGCCTACCATTTTTAAAAAGACAAAAATAAGAAACAAAATTCCTTGTATTTTTCCAGTTCGTAAAGAAAAAAAAAATCAAAATTCCTTGCATTTTCTCTGTTATTTTTAGGTGGTTTTTAAATTCCCTGCATTTTCCAGGTTTTTCACTGTGGGTGGCAACCCTGTTTACTATTTGGAAATTTTCACTGTATTTACTAAACTCTATTTCAGAGTGGCCACTCAAATCAGATTTCAAATTTCTCTGATTTTTCCATGTAAAAATCTTAAAATTTCAAAATCAGTATTTTTTTCTTTCTTATGTATTTAAGTGTAGAATTTGTACAAGAAAAGTGTCAATATTATGAAATATTTTATTCAAAATGTTACTTTTTTAACATGTCATCTTGAAAAAATAATTTATTTTGACAATTTGGCAAGTTTTTTTTTTTAATGTTTTGGTACAACATTAATTTTTAAGAAATTAAAACATGTGGAGAAAATAATATGTTTAGCTTGTAGAATAGATTGTTTTCATTGAATAAAATATTTTTAATGTGTTATTTTTAGTAGTTTTTGCTTGGATAAGTATTGTTTAATATATTTTCATTAAGTAAAGGAAAACCGTTCCAGGTGATAATATATCAATAAAGTTTATAGTTACAGTGGCTCCAAAAAATGTTCGTTCACTTATAACTTTTATTGAAATAGGAAATAAAAATTCATTAATTAAAATGAATATTTCAGAATGGGTATTTGATTTTAAGATGTATAATCTATTCTTAGCAAAACTGCATAGAATATTTTAGTTCAATATTTAGTATATCAAAGCAAAAGTTCATTTCTAAGATATCAATAATCAAATAGTAAAAAAAATTTTACCCCACGAAAGTCATTGTACACTTTAAATGTTTTCTAATTTTAGAATTAAAATTATCGTCAATTGCTTTAATTTTTTTATTTTATCATTTAAAAACGGCTCGTTGTCTTATTAAAAAAATAGACCAAATTTGAAAGTGGGTAATTTGTCATCATAAGGGGTAAATCAGTATGAATATTGTTAAATTAGTTTATTGTGTGCTATTGCACTGTAATATGTGATAAAATGCTTAAAAGAAAGACTTCATACCAAAGATTAAAATTATAAAAATTTGTGGGAAAATTCATAAATTCACAATTGAGTGTTGTAAAAGTTTCTGTAAAATTTAATAAAAAATATTCTGCTCGAATTTCACCCGACAAAAAAAAAAACTAGCTACATTTATTTACAAACTCATGAAAGCTATAGTAGATGTGAAAGGAAACTCCACTAAATATTAATTTAACGAAAATTAGAATATTTTCCAATAGGCAAAATTTTTTTTTTGAAAGTGCAAAATGACTTTTGTGGGATAAAGTTTTCGTTACTTTTTGATGATTGATCTTTGCCTTTCCTAAATTGCAGTCCCATAGTCTCAATAGAGGTCAACTGTTTCTACATTCATTCAGCAACCATGGGCGAATTTTATGAGGCACTCTAGTTTAACAGGGTTATAATGGAGCAAATTTTGTTAAGTTAATAATATTTCAACTGTTTGGAGACACATTTCAGACTAAAAAAAGTGGATATAATGGATGAAATAATTTAAATTAAGAAAATTAGTTAATAATTTAAATTAGGGAAATTGAAAAAATATCAAAACAAAAATTTCCAGCTTTTCTTGAAAATTCCCCGTTTTTTCCAGTATAAAAAAATTCCCTGCTAATTCCAGGTTTTCAAGGTGGGTGGCCACCCTGTATTTTCATCCCAATGTATCTTTAAAAGTTCAAACTGCTATAAGTTAAGAAATGCATTTTTACAACTGCCACTCGGATCATGGCTATAATGTAATGAGTTAGAAACAGTAAGAACCTTGTTGTTAGAAACAGTAAACCCTATTTTAATCATAGCATAAGAAATGATAAGTACCTTTTAGACTTCCAGTGCTATCAGTTTTTCTTGCTTTAGAGGGAGGAGGAGTGAAAGCTGAGTCTTTAATGTTCTCTTTAAGAACATTCTTAGATTTACTTTTCCTGGCATTCTCTTTAACTTCTGTCAGCACATCAGATGAAGTTGGAGTTTTGGTTTTTTTATTTCTTTTCAGGTTAGAAATTTTCTTGGAACTCACATTTACGAAGACCGGCGTTTTCGGGACCACCGTCGGAGCTTCCATTTCTTTGTCGCTGGAGGGAGCAACATTGGCATCACTCGTTTCATTTTCCACTGCAACATCTTCCGCATTTAAGTTATCAATCGGTGGCTTTGCCAACGATGTATGGGTGCTCTGTGTGGCACTGCTCAGGCTTTTTATATCTGAAGCCCCACCATTTGGATTTTCTTCCGGAAAAGGGATATCAACATCATCTAAGAAGTCATCGGTTGCAGTTACTCTCTTCCTGCTAGACCTTTCGGAAATCCCTGAGAACGTCTTTTTGCTTTTAGACCTTTTACTCTCAAATCCGAAAAATTCAGAGTTTTTATGAGATTTCGCACCACTCAACTTAGAGGAACTATTCCCTTGTTTCACATTTAAACTTGATTTTTTGCTAACATCTATTTTATCAACATGTGTTGTAGCAATAAGAGGGTAGTCTGTTTCAATCTCTTTAGGCTCACCATCCATTTTTTTATCAGTCACATTTACAAGACCATCTCCTTGGCTTCTTCCCTTAACCTTATTTGTTTGTTTTTCAGTTTCTTCAGATTTCTCATTTTTCTTGGACCTTAACTCCTCTTCACTTTCATCAGTACTTGGAAATGAGCTTTTTAATTTGTGTTCAATATTGGGAGAAATATTGTGTGAAATGTAACTTTTTTCAGCGGGCAGTGATGGTTTTTTAAGCATCGAGCGTCGCACAGGAACACTTTTTTTCTCACAATCATTAGGTTCAAACATATCCACAATTTTAATTTCTCTCTCAGAGTTTTTAACTCTGTCCTCGTCGTCACTATTTGTAGGGGTTGCATTAATATTTGCAAATGAAACTTTCTTTTTCAAGGAGCGTTTCTTTCGACCTTGCTCTTGATACATGAGTCCGATATCTCGCTCTAGAACGGCAACTGTATTTTTATTCTTTGGCATTTTTGAACTCTTTTTGGGTGGTTTTTTGCTCTGCCTACATTTCGTGGTCGGTTCCTCATCTTCGTCGGACAAAGAGAAGTCGTATCCTTTAGAATCGGCACATTCAAGCTTATTAAGCTTTGAATTAGACTTCCTAGTTTTTTTAAATATGAAAGGTCCTCTTCGGCCTGGTTTTAAACTTCTCCTGCCTGGGATTCTCTTTCTCTGCTGTTCTGTTGCAATAACCTCAGGTTCAGAATCTGAGGGGAACATATCCGAAAAAGATGAATTTGATGAATTTTCTGAATTTGATGAATTTTCTGAAATTTTAGGCAAAACAGATTTTCTAGGACATATACTAGAAGTTTTCTTAAGATTCTTTTTTGTGGATTTGCTGTTTGAAATTTCTGGTTCCTTTGAATGTTCTCTATTCACTACTGTTTTTTCAGTGCTACATGATGGCCTTGTTATTTCATCCAAAGACATGACCTCATTTGTAGCTTTTGTATGAGCTGTATCTGGCAGATCAATGTTACCTGATAAGTTTAGCTGATTTAATAATTCTTTAGGATTAGGTAACAACGATTTGATAGAGGCTTTACTAGATTTGTTTTGCTTATCTATTGCTTCTGAATCAGTTTCTTCTGACAGATCATGATTAGATGATAAATTTTGGTAGCTTGGTGATTTTTTTAAAAAATTGGGTAATACTGTCATTTTAGAAGTTTTCGATCTTCGACATTCGTGTACTTCTTCCAAATCATCTGCATCATTTGTTTGGTTCGTTTGCTTTGAAACTCCTTTAGCAGGATAAGGCAACACTGACTTTCTAGAAGCTCGATTAGATTTTATGCGCTCATTTATGACATCTAAATCACTTTCAACTGCAATGATAGGATCAATCGATAACTTTTGTTGCTTTAACAGTTCTTCGGGTATAGTAGGTGATACTGATTGGCCGACAGATTTATGGCAATACTCGGGCGACCCTGTATTTACTGTAGGCGGGGTTGATATTGTGGGATGCTTAAAAGCTTCATTTAAGGAATTTGATCCAATTAACTTATTAGAAATTTTATTGGTGGGTTTTAGGTTACTAGATTCGGGCACAAAACCTTCTTCAAAGCATTTTGAAACAACTTTTCCTTTTTTCAACATTGATGACCCGGGCTTATGATCACTGGATACTATACTTAGATTAGGAGAAGGTTTAAATTTTTCAATGGGAGATATTGGTTTTGAAATATTCGAAACAGAAGGTAAATCTTTCAGGTTGCATGCTGTTTTATTGGAAGGAAGAGAGAAGTTATTAAAATGCATTTCATATGTTGAACTTGCAAGGGCAACAGAGGGGATAATTTCAGTGAGATCCATGTCTTCAACAAAGTTCAGGGTCATATCACCAGTACAAATTTCATGAGGCAATTGGAATGGGTTTCCAGGTCTGGGATCTGGTTTCTGCGGTGGCAAATGAGGAATTACAAATGTGCCTCTCTTATCTGAATCAGCCTTCTTGGTGGCTTGTAACTCGTGCGCTAGTTCCTGCAAAGAGTCTGTTCCCGACTTCACAGAAACAGGTAAGCAGTCATTGTTATCTTTGTTTAGCTGGTTAACAACAAAAGTTTCTCGTCGAATCGAAGGAACGAAAGCTTCAGGAGTGTCAGGTATACCCAGATCGCAAAATAAGTTATGTCGTCGCACCGGTATTCTGGAGAGATTAGAGCTTGTTTTTGCTTTGGGTGTTGTTTCTTTTGTAAATTCTTTCCCTTCTATGTCTTTAGGTTTCTCATATACAAAATCTGGCATTTTACTAGTATACTTTTGGGGACTGAATTGGGGCATTTCAGGTGTCCGTATTGTAGAAACATTGTTTTCTTCTGAACCTAAATAAAAAATAAAACAATTCCAATTTCAGAATGAAAAGAATTTATGAACAAAGAATTTAAATCAAGAATATTCGCAATAATTTTTTATATTGATTAAATTCTTCAATAATTTAGCTAAATTGCCTTCTCTGAAAAGCATAGAAATACTAAAGCTGATGAAAGACATTACAAGTAGATAATTTTCATTGAAAATATTATGCAGCACCTTTCAATAGTTTANATTCCCTGAATAATTGTTTATATTGATTAAATTCATGCAATAATTTAGCTAAATTGCCTTCTCTGAAAAGCATAGAAATACTAAAGCTGATGAAAGACATTACAAGTGGATAATTTTCATTAAAAATATTATGCAGCACCTTTCAATAGTTTAGTTCTCAAAATAACATTTCATGTCTGTTTTAAATTTGCTTAAAAAATTTGGTTTAATCAAGTGAACGTCCGGCGACTGAGTGGTAGCGCTACGCGCTAATGTGCCACAGGTCCTGGCAAGGTTGACTTAGCCTTTCAACCTTTCAGTGTGTCGATAAATGAGTACCAAGCATGCTTGGGAATTAAACACCGGGGGTTTCGCGTTCGGCCGACCATCTAACCGGAATGTCTGCTCATGCATCCCAGAGCCCAAGATCAAGAAAACTGAGATGTGTACAGTAGGCCTTAGCCCTCCGTGGGCTGTCGCACCACTGAGTTTAGTTGAATCAAAAAAAAAAAAAAAAAAAAAAAAAAAAAAAAAAAAAAAAAAAAAAAAAAAAAAAAAAAAAAAAAAAAANAAAAAAAAAAAAATGAGAAGAAAAAAAACAGTTTCAGTTTTTTTCTGACATTTTCATGCTATTTTTTTTTTACTCATCACAGATATAGGGAAAATCATGTTGTAGATATGAAAAAAAAAGTCTTTTTCTAAAGAAGAAACATTTCATTTCAATAAAAAGAATTCCAGTTTTTTTTAAAACCAGAATACCATCACAAATATAACAAGATAGACAAGTAATGAGGTTTACAAGTTTTTCTCTCTGTTGTTACATAAAAAAAAAGATTGATTCTTGATAATTAGTGATCAATTTCACAGGTTCTTAGTTGCATGAATATTTGTTGCAGCTTTACATTGAGTATAATAGATTCACTAAGTTAACACTAAACATACCATAACCGCTCAAATGACCATTTAACATCTTTTGCATCTAAAATGCGCTGATCAGCTTATCTTTTTGCGCATTTGACTTCATGACTTTTTCAAACAATTATATACAGTGAATNGAGAAAGGATTGGTAGCTAAGTAGTTTGAATTTTCTGTTTCTCTTTGAAAATCGGTGAACTTTCTGAAAAAGCGGAATACTTATAAAAAAAAAATGAAATTTTTAGAAAATCTGAATTTTTGATAAAAAAGCTGAAATTTAAGAGATAAAAGTGAAAAAAGCGGAAATCTGCTAAAAAGCGGAAAAATCTCATCCCTGTTGATAATTAGTGATCAATTTCACATGTTCTTAGTTGCATGAATATTTGTTGCAGGTTTACATTGAGTATAATAGTTTCACTAAGTTAACACTAAACATACCATAACTGCTCAAATGACCATTTAACATCTTTTGCATCTAAAATGCGCTGATCAGCTTATCTTTTTGCGCATTTGACTTCATGACTTTTTCAAACAATTATATACAGTGAATATTCTATTATTATTTAATTTTCGTATTTTGTTCGTTTCGAATAATACTTGCCGTTAACCTATTTCTACCACAACTGGCCATTTGACCGGGAGAACAATTTACTGCTTTATAAGGCTATCGAATCAGAAATGACGATGTAATGCGTGTTCAACATATTGCATTCGATGAGTTGCACATTTCTGTAAAAGACTGTTGCGTTCAATCAGAATAAGTGCAAATTCAAATTTCAAGAAAGTACCTAAAATTTTAGATTGACATATTTGTGTCAGAAAAAGTGACAAGAACTAAATGTTTTGGTAAGTAGCTTATATTTTATTTTGAGAGCTTTACTTCATTTCTAACTAACTGTTTGTTTTTACCGTCAGAAAAATGTCAAAACAATCAAAACAGAAGAAACAATAATAATCAAACTTAGAAGAAATAATATTAATTTATAAAAATAATAATAATTGGAAGAAATACGTTTTTGGAAAATGTACAATGGAAACACCCTACCCTGTATATGTAAAAAATGCATCAAGCAATGAATTAAAAATTGGCAATATAAAATTTTGAATTAGTATTATAAAGTTTTTTAGCTTATTTCTTTCCTAACATCCATATTTCATACATTCAATCAAGAAACATAAAGTCCGGTCATTTGACCGGCTATGATAGAAATAGGTATAGATTAAGTGTTGGTATGTTTAGTATAGTAGGGAACCGATTATCCGGAACGATCGGGACCATCGCTATTCCGGATAACTGATTTTTCCGGTTTTCTGAATCGCTACAAAAAGCCGTTTTTTCTATTGTTAAACTCAACTAAAAAAAAATATATATTAGGAAATAATCTTAAAAAGAAGAAAAAACGATGAAGTAATACAGTAATGATTATTTCTAAAAAGATGGTATGGTAAACATCTTTCAAAAAAGAAAGAAAAATCCTAAAATCTTATGAGGAAAAAAAATTTTTTTTTTTTAAATGGCGGGAAAATTTACCGAATTTCGTTCCGGTTTTTTGGTTTTCCGGTTTTCTGATTTCCGGATAACGGGTTCTGTACTGTATTAAGAACAAATTTTTAAGATATCTTCCATAAACAATCTCAAGATGACAATTATTACTACAATTTGAGCTAGAAATCACTTACCATTTTGTTTATCAAGATTAAGAAAGTTAGTAACATTATAGATTTCTGTAACATAATCATCAAAAACAGGCGTTGCATCTTCCATGAGTTCAACTTCATTGCTGGCGACTGATGATCTGGGACTTTCCTCAATAGTTTCCAATTCTGGTGGACAGGATTCAGGTTTGAAATCATTAGAAAATCTAAAAAGACAATGATCAAGGGAAATTACTATCAACGCTCAATGTAAAAACCCACCTACCCAGTAAAACCCAAACAAAGTGGGTTCTTCTAAAATATGATTTCTTTTTAATCTTCTGATATATTAAAAAGTAGGACTGGGATATAAATTGATGTATCATGACATATCGATTTAATGCATATATCAGCAAGCTGATACAGCAACTTTCGTTACAGACAATGCATCAGAAATCTGATTTAAGCCGTAGACTAAAGACGACGAGTGCGAAACAATGTATCGATATAAGACGAGCAAGGATCTTCTTGCAACTGATACCGACGCATGCAGAAGACGACGATGTACGTTTCGTTAGGTTGAAATGGCTTTGATTGATGAGTGGTAGAATCAAAACCATAATTTTGAGAATATATATCATGATCTCGCATGTTCGTGCTTTTTTTCTTTTTCTTTGTAGCGACTTGATATTGCTTCTTGTAGATTATTTTCAATAGCTGACTTTGTGATTGCCGTCGTTAACTTGTTCTGAACGTAATCTATTATTGAAAAGAATATATAAAGAAGTGTTTCTTAATTAATTAGATAAATTTTCTTTTAAAACAAAACTTTTTTATTTATTTTTAAATGTGAAAATTAATTTTGATATTATATGCTTAAGTAATTTTTTACATTATTGAATTTATTACAATCGGAAATCTAATTTAAGGTGCCCATAAAGAATTAAATTACAAAGTAATTAAATTTGTTAGGCTATTTTTTACTTTATTTTAATTTATTAATAACTTTTTAGATAAAACTTCTAATAACAGAGATGACAGTAGTCAGAAAGTAAAAAAGAGGAAATCCAAGAATGAATGTGTGTGTGTATATATATATATATACAAATTATTTGACAAAAAAAGTGCGATTTTTAAACTTGTAAGCCATGCGATTATAAATCCCCATGATTATTTTTAAAATTGCATGAATATGAATCACATGCATGATTTTAAATTGAGAGAATATGAATCCCGATATGAGGCTTTTAAATCACGTGAATATGAAACTCTATATCGAATTTTAATAAATGCGAAAATGTAAATCATGATGCGTAATTTTTAGATCACGTAAATACGCATCACAATGCATAATTTTTAAATCGCGCAAATACAAATCACAATGTCTAATTTTTAAAGCACGTATAAATACGGAAATCGATGTTTGATATTACAACCGCAAAAACAAATCACGACATTGGATTTCAAGCTCGCGCGAATACAAATCGCTACATAGGGTTTTAAAAGCGAGTAAATACAAAATCGCGATATTGGATTTTTAAATCTCGCAAATAAGAATCATAATGTATGATGTTTAAATAGCGTAAATAAGAATCGCAATGTGCAACTTTTAAATCAGGTAAATATGAAAATCAATTATTGATATTAAAATCATGCGAATAAGAATCGAGATATTTACAGAGTCTGGACTTGGGATTTCTAAAAGGCTTGTCTGTATTGTTTTTGTTTAAACATAATAAATAAAAATTTACAAGATTAATCGAATGAGCAAGTAAATATTTTCACTGCAAATCCACCTCGATTTATTATTATTTTTTTCGTTTGCTTTCACATCAGACAACAGGGTCACAACGTATGAATTGCGAAAATACGAGCTATCGGGCGGACGAATAAAAATACGGAAAACCTTATTTTTTGGTCATAAAAGCGGAGAAAATAGCTAAAATAAGTAAAAATCTGGAAGGGTTAGCAGCTAGGACGTAGTTTGAATTTTCTGTTTATCTTTGAAAATCGTAAATAAATATAATTATTTTATTTCAACAACTGAATTTTCAAAAAAAAAAGAAAGAAAAAAACCGGGATATTTATTAAAAAAAAACGAAACTCTTAGAGAATCGTAGTTTTTGATAAAAAGGCTGAAATTCGAGTAGCAAACGCAAAAAAATCTCATCCCTGTATGAAGGTCAACCAGTATTATCCCAAGGAAATGATTTTTAGAGAAACTTCAGAGGGAGGAATGAGGACTTAAATACTTTCTCTCCGCGGAAAATTAAATTCCTCATAAAATATTTTAACTTGTTCAAAAAAAACTTTCCGCGGAAATTAGCTGGAAAAATGGAAAAATCTGGGAAAAAAAAAAAAAAAGCGGAAAGCCGCGAATCCGCGGAAGAATCACATCCCTGTAATAATTTAATGGGTTTTTATTACTGATTTTAAATTTTAGGGGTGATTGTGAGTCCAAGTCAAAATTCCGGAAAATTTCAATTAAAAAAAAAAAAAAAAACAGTTTAAATTGAAAAATTAGAAAAAAAAATGCAGACAAGTTTTTTTTCTTCCCTTTTCTCAATATTTTTTTTAGTTTACTTAAAGTAGATTTAAAATTTTACACACACTTATACCAATTACACATACCTATGATGACTCAGAGAAGTAATTAAAATTTACAAATATGTCTTTCTTTCTTGAATTTATGATTATAATAACTATTTACTGATAAAAAATTGAATATTAATCATGAATATAAGCTTATAAAGTATCTGGGTCTCCCTTACAAACAAATAAAATAGAGTTTTTAAGTTCCACCTTTGAAAATTTGATTTCCGGAAACTTCTGTGATCAATGATTTTTTTTAAACGGATCACTGTTAGCGAAAAATCCGGATTTTTCCCGGAGCACAATCAGCCCGGAAATTTATAAATCTTTAGTTGTTTTTAGATTTATAAATAAAATTATAACAAAACTTATTTTTCCTCGTTTGGATTTGGACATAAGTCAATCAACTTTGTTTATTTAAAAAAATTAGTAAGGTTTGCGACTTCTTTTTTTAATTAGCTCTTCGTTTTATTAAAGAGTATAATTGTGCTTTTTAATTTTCTTTCAATATTGTCAGTGAAATATATTATCGAATATTATAATTCTTTCGTTTTTATTTTTAGGAAATTAAACCTTACTTTTTTTTTGTTATGTTAAATAATAATGATAAATAATAGTGTTGTTTTAAAAGCGTTTCTTTTTAAAAAATTTATTTAGCACTTTGCTTTAAGCATACAAATAATTTTTAACGAACTTATTTTTTAAATTTTCTTTTTATATTGATAAATTTCAATCTTATTTTTTTATTATTTATTTTTAAACTAAGAAATCTTTCGCTATTTGCGCGATCATTTTTAGAAAATATAACATTAACAGGGCTGCCACAGTAAAAAATGAACAAAAATAGTTGCTTTTAGTAGCCTCAAGCATGAAAATAGTTGCCTAAAACTATGAAAATAGTTGCCTGAACAGGAACAAAAATTTTTCAAAAATAGTAGCCAAATAACTAAAATTATAGCTTAATTGTCATATACCATTATTAGGACTGGGTGATGTCAGAAATTTTAAACAGTGATACATCGTCAGTTAAACATCACGATATAGTGATGTACCGCAATTTAGCATATGTTCAAAAATTACCTATGGGAAATTTTTAAGGCAATCAAAAATAAATAAAAAGGAATAAATCTAGTACAAAAGAAAATATTAATTCTAAACATATTCTACTATGACATCCATATCATTGCTTAATTTTTTCAATTAAATTAATAAAGAAGTCAAAGTAAAAGCAAACCCAAGCTTTACTTCATTTTTCTTAAATTAAAAATGATTTAAGATTTATTGGTTTAAAAATAATAATACTGTAACAAATTATTTTACATACATGCATTAAAAATTAAAAGAAGAAAAAAAAAGGGAAGTAGAAAACAAATCAAAGAAATATTCACTTTAGGAAGAAAAAATTTTTTTTATTATTTGTTGGAAAAAAAACACGCTTTTGAAACATCATTAGACTCTTTTTTATTTACTTATTTAAAATAATAAAAAGTAGTATTAACTAATGGTCAAATTCTGTACTTAATAAATGTAAAAATATTTTTACTTATTTATTATTATTTTCATTCTTGAAAATAAAATCGACTGAAGATTTATTTGTTTCAAAATGATACTGACTATCGAACAAATTATAAAGTATTGAAAGAGTTTTAATAAAAATTTTAAAAAAATAATTTAAGTACCAATGTTTAATTATTAAAAACGTCAAAACATTACTGAACTTTTTATTTAATTAAAAAAAAAATTTGTTTTAAAACTTTGTTTTCATTTTCTCAAAAATAAAAGCAAATTAAATTAAGGTAGGCTTTGTTTTAATTTTTTTTATAATTAAAAACGAATAAGCATTTATTGGTTGAAAAACAATCAAAATTATATACTTAACTACATTCAATAAATTTAAAAAAATTAACTTTTTATAACAAAGTTAAATACAGAATACGATTAAATTGTATCGCTTAAAATAAAAAATAATTGAAAAAAATCAATGATTTGATCTGAGTTCAGAACGAAAATTTAAGATAACAGCGATTGTGCAACAGTCGCAAAGTAACAGTAGGTCTACTAAAAATAATTGACAAGAATCGTTAAGCCCAGACAGAAAAAAAATGGTATGAAATAATGCAGAACGAAACGATCGTTGTAAAAGTCTCACTAAAAATAATTTACAAGAAACCCGACAATTATTTCCGACGGAATGAAATGCACAACGATCGCAAAATGAATTACGTCCCATTGAAAATAATCTTCAAAAAACGCAAATCCCAAAGACAAAAATGGACATCAAGAAACTATGCATTGCGTTCTATATTACAACGCTGATCCTCGCACGAAATCGGGAGTTCTGATTCAATTCGCTCTTCGTCATTCAACATCATCTTAATAGCAAAATGCTATCTACATCTCTGCAGCTAGAGGAAATCAAAATCCTCTTCATTAGTGCGGTAACAGCGTTAGCCTAGTCAAGGATCCTTGCATATTAAATCGTTAAACCGTGATTGTAATCTAATTCCGGTGGCTTAAATCAGATTTCTGATGCATCGCCTAAAACGAAAGTCACTACATCGGCTTACTGATATATGCGTTAAATCGATATTTCGAGATACATCGATTTATCTCCCAGTCCTAACTATGCTCCAATTAAAAAAAAATTTTTTACAAATATAAAAGGTATACATATTAGAAAATAGATACCTAAATAAAAGTCGAACTACAATAAAATATAAATGTTAGTAGAAGGAAAAGACAATTAAAAATAACAAAACTGCCCCTCTGAGAGAACATATAACAAGTACTTTATTAAATCCATGGAAATTTAAATTTTTGGCTCTTTGGACATAAATGATTGTATAAAAGTTTGCTTTCTTTTATTAACGTTCTGAAAAGTAATGTTCATTTTTGCGAAAAAACTTCTCCAAGAGTAAAAAAAAGTCTCCTAATAGTCGCCTATTCCTGAAAATAGTTGCCTTTTCAGGCAAAAAAAGTCGCCATAGTCGCCTAAGGCCGAAAATAGTAGCAAATAGTTGCATTTTAGTAGCCTGTGGCAACCCTGCATTAATATCTTTCTTAAGCAAAACATATGTATCTTCTAATTCATAAATTGATTTAAATTAATCTGAGTATGAAGTTTTGATAGAAATCCGACTTTTTGTGCCTTACAAGTAAATGAAATTCAAAAATACAATATCGCAATACATCGCGACGCAAAACTGGCGATGTGTCACAATATAAAATTTCTTATATCGCCCAGTCCTATTAAAGATCTATTCTATTGAAAAATATCTGTAGTCTAGCTAAAATAATGAACCTATGGAAAAACTAACACCAATCTGAAAAGAAAATTATTTGTGTAATTAATGATGAAAAATGGTATAGGTTTCATATAAAAAACAGAATATAATTTGAAAATAAATCTATAATAAAAGTTATACTATAATAATGCAGAAAGTGATGCAGAGCTAGCTGAACAGAGCTGCTTAGGGCAACCATAAAGTTGTAAAAACCTGTCAGATCTTTATCATAAACACACATTTCAACTAATTTCTACCACTGTGATGCACTGACAGTATGGCCTTTAATTTGCTTTCTATATGCAAGAAGAAAATTTTATCAAATATTTTTCAAAATTAAATTATAAACAAAAAGTAATCCTGGGTTAAACTAGGTTTCAAATGTGTGATGTATGTGAGTGCATATAACGTTTTGTACCGTGATATCAGAAGAAACTTTTTTCAGTGGAAATGGGTGTTATAACCGGAGGCCGCTATATCGTGAATTTGTAAAACTATAGCAAATATTTAAGATGATACAAAAAGCATCATTCTTTTATCTACTTCTTTCAAATATTTCTCAATTCTGTTCTAAGCATATGGCATCACACTAGTTAGGTTCAAGCATTTTAATTAAATAGCATAAGTTTATAGAACTGTAAAAATATAGAAAAATGGGAATTAGGGCTGGAAAAAAAAAACCCTTGCCTTTTAGAAAAGTCCAAACTGGATTTGTCGTATTGGTTTTCTTTGGGTTTAATTAGGTGTCATATTTTTTTCTTAAGGGAGGNGGGGGGGGGGGGGGAGGATGAGGGGCAAATACATTCAGTGCTAGAAAAGAAAACATAAAGCCAAGCAAAACATTGCCAAATTTGAAACGCCACTGTTATGGCTGAATACACAAATTTATTTTCTAACTGCAAATGTAGAGCTTAATTGCTTTACATGACAATTTTATTTTTATTTATCATATTATTCAAATCATGGTAAAATTGACATAATCATTAAAAAACCACTTGAAAAAAAGTATAAATTTGGAATTAGGATTCATTAGGTCATTGTCAGGTTAGGTCATAGGTTATAAAACATGCAAAAAGCGGTTTGATTTGGTGAGAGTTGTATAAAGGCAGATTTTGGTAGTCTGCATGCACAATACAATGCCAAAAAGAACTAATTTAGAGGTTGGCGAATAAGGTAAAACTTTAACTTTTAAAAAGTTCTCAAATTGCAAAAAAAAAAAATAAATAAATGAAAATAAAGGTTGCAGTGAATAGTTACTTCAGGAACCCTGAACGCTATTGCTGTAAACAGCGCATTAGAAGACCAAAAAAAAATAATTCATCAAGACAAGAAAGACAAATCTGGAAATTTGCGTGTCACGGAAAGATGTCATCTACAGAAATTAAAAGTAAATGCAGTCAACATGCAGCAGCCGCATGGTTAGAAATTATTTAAGTAATAATAAATAGCAAAGGTAACATGAGCTTAAACCAGATAGTATTGAACACATGTTTATCTACATGTGGATTTGTTTGCTCCAAATTGAGAAATAGTTTCGTTATCAACTAAGTCAAAAAGCTTATTAAATTTTTAAACATTTAAACAGTAAATCGGAACTAAAAGAGACTATTTCAGAACTTTTAGCTTAATGTGTTTTACTTCTATGTAAAAATATTTTCTATTATTTAAAATTTTATACATTTCTATACAGTAAAAATTTAAAAATTATTTTTTGGTTAACAACTATTATGAAAGTAATAAAGAGTATGAGCTTAAAAATGGTAAAATAATTTGAGAAAAATAATCAAAAATGGGTTGAATTACAATAACAGCAGCAGTATTAACAGGGAGAAAAAAAGTTAGCCATTGTTTTTTTTTTTTTTTTTTAGCTTTACTTATCTCTTGCCAACAAAAAACAAAAACACTAATTTAAATGTAGATTACTTGTTTTTTTTTTGTTTCTTTTTTTTTTTGACAGATGGGTGGAAAGACAGCCTTTATAAAAAGAGTACATACAATTTTCTAGCAAAAATATATGATTTTTGAATTTATTGAACTCTTTGTAAACAAATTTACAAAAGTTAAGAATACACACAGGAGACTCAGAGTTACACATGAGGATGTAATATATTTTTACTTATAATTCTCAATAATGAAAAGTAATCACTATTTTACTATCTTTTTGAGCATAGATTATGTCTTGTCTAGGACCTATGATCAGGTTATCTGCTACATTTTAGATTTTCAAATTCATGACTTTCCATGTCCAGGGTATCTGCTACATTTCAGATTTTCAAATTCATGACTAATTCCAAGAACTTTTCATGACTTAACAAACAAAAACAGAATAATACATTTAAAAAGCATTATAATAACATTAATCAAAATTATAGGTATAACCAAAACTGTTATACTCAACATCTCCATATTTATTGATTTTAAATTTAAAAAACAAAGTAAAGAGTTGAAGCAATAAAATAGCTGAGAAAATAATTTTTGCGTTTCTTTTTTTCTGCAGAATTATATTCTAAAGATACTTTTCTTGTTCATCAGAAAGGAAAGAAATACTCCTGATTTTTTTGTTCTCATTTTGGAATAAAAAAAATTTGCCAATGACTGGCTTGCTCCAACTACAATTTTAAATTGATAAAATAAAAAAAAAGATGAATAATAATAATTCTGAAGTTTAAAAGATACTTCCTTCTAGAAATGATGTTTTTTCTTTCATTTTTCGAAAGAACAGCATAATTTTTAAAGAAAATTATAAAAACTTCTTACATTTTAATAAAATATGACTCAGAGTGGGGATTTTGTTACAAATTCAGATATTCGGAACACCGTGAAATTGGGGAGGGAATCCATTTAAAAAATAAAATTATTCGGCGACCTAAATCCATGATTTTACGTGACTTTCCAGGTGCACGGATACCATGTATGATAACCTAACTATGATAGCATAACTATGATAAGAATAGATGGCCCTATAACTCATTCTTCATTTATAGAAAACTCAAGGTGTTTTACGTTCATTTAGTGATAACAGTAAAATAAATATAATAATCATATAACCATATAATAATTATGTAAGAAAAATAAATAAAATTATTTAATCTAAAAATAAACAAAAAGCTTTATTAATACTAGATGAAAGAAACATCAACATTTTCTCTTGTTAAATCAAAGTGGAGGATTCTTTTGAAGATTTTGTGGATGAACCTTTAAAACTAATACTTATCTTTAATTTTTATGCACATTTTTCTTTCAGATACATCAATTAAAACTAGTAGTAGAGAAACATCCTGTTTCTCACAATATGCATCGAATGGCAAAGACAGCCAACTACAAAAATGTCTTAAAAAGTTTGAAACAATGAATTTCGTAGGTAAGGTAATATGACTGTACTATGTATATAATTCATGAAAAGTCTCCAAGCTTGAACTATTGAATTGATCTTTACCGGAATAATTAAAATATAACTAAGTCAAATTATTCAATGTAAATTATTTCAATGTATGTATTGGAAAGAAGAAAACAAAAATGAGGGGGATGTTCTGAGCACACTCAAAAATTAGGAATATCTTTATCAGAATATCTTTTATCAGGAAAATCAGGACAACCTCAAACCCTGTGAATAGAATAAATATACATAAATTCTCTCTTAGAACAATCTAATAAAGAACAAATAACTCTCAAGACTTTCGAATATTTGTTATATAACTCAAAATAGAAAACCTGATTTAATTATTTAACAAAAAAAAAAAAAAAAAAAAACATATCTAATAATTAAATAGATTTTTTTTAGCTCTTCTTTTAAGTGCAGCTTATAAATTAGTTAAAACCGATCGACACTTAGAAACAAGTACTTACATTGTTGAAGAAATTAGATGTCTCACATCAAGGTAATTTAAAGCAGCATCCAAATCACCTACCACTTTTTGTAAAGTTGAGGCCATGTCTTTAAGTTTTCTTTGCGCCATCTACCAAAAGCAAATATTATAAGCATCTGAAGTTTTGCACAATCTGTCAGTAAAAAAATTTCAAGTAGAATTATTTTTTAACTTTATACTACATTTTTTAATGCATGATTAATACTTACAACAGACAAAAAAAATCTCCAATTTTTTTTCCTGATTTTTATATTATAAATTACATAATTAAAGAATTGCATAATTTAATCACTATACTACACAAATTTTATAAATTTTTTAGGTTGGTCTTATTCAAATCAGGGTTGGGTTTTTGCCGTCAAAAACTGGTTTTTGACATGACAGTGGTAAAAACCGTGTTTTTACCGGTAAAAACTGTCAAAAACCTGTTTTCTTTAATTTATGGCATATAGCGGAAAATATATTATTTTCACATAATTGCCATTATAAATGAATGTTGTAAATGATTGCTATTGATTTTGCTACTACATACATGTATTATTCTTATAGAAGGATATACGTTCATATAGAAATATTGTAATATACTGAAAATAGTGATACTTACTTTTATCATTATAGCTTGATTTGCAAAGGATTCAAAATTTTGCACTTCTGAATTGTTAGAAATAAACAAACAAACAAAAAAGCTTGGAACTATTAATAAATTCAAGAACTAAAAAGAAGAATTTAAAATTTGGCATTTCTTAAATATTAGAAGTAAGCTAAACAAAACTTTCAAAACTTATAACTACTAACAAACTCTAAGTCAAGAATGACTTGACATTCTTCAGTAATGTAATATGCCAAACAAAATGATGCTTGGAAATGTTGAAAATTTTGTTTAGTATCCTAATATTTTACTTCAAATAGTATGATTTGATATAATCATGTTGGGAAAATGCAAGAATCTGTTCTTAAATATCTTTTAACAACTTTTATTCGAATTTTATTGCCCAAAAATGAATTAATTTTAAATTATAAGCAGTTAATCTCAAATAAAAATAAAATTTTACCAAAACTATGGGTTTTTGACAGTTTCTGACGTTTTTGACACAGGGTTTTTTGACATGACGGTAAAAACCATGGTATAAACCGGTAAAAACCGTCATGTGTCAAAAACCCTGATTCAAATACATAAAATATATAATTAAAAAAGAAAATGTTTTTACTAGACTAAAGCAAAATAAGCAATATTTTTTAATAAACTTTATTCTCTAATTTTCAATTTTTAATATGGTAAGACAGGTAACCAGACACATAGGAAACTTATTTTCAACACTAAGAAATTCTTTAGTCTGTTCTGATTAGCTTTTTTTCTATTAACTTTTCTTTTTAACAGTGTTTTTATTATGATAGCATTTTTATAAGAGCATGTGGGGAGAAACCATTAGACAATGTCAACCTTCATCTATCAAAAGGTACCTAAAGATTGAATCAAGTTACCATGTTTTATATACTAGTGAATTGATGTTTAATAACCGTAGTGGTAGTTATGCCACAACACTCCCCCACGAGAATTTTATCAGGGATAGAATTCGATGAACGGATACCACTAGTTGCTGTATTTGTGAAAGACCGGGAGAGCTGGATTAAGGTCACTGGGTTTTGATCTTGAGCCATGAGAGCTATATTAAGTTCATGGTTGTGTGTGTGATCACTCCTGAGCTATTAGCAGTCAAGTGTGAGCAGAAACCAGTTGTGTGTAAATGAGACTGAGAACCAACAGCGTGAGGACGATGACACAGTCACAATTAGCAAGAAAACTATTCAATGTGGACCATCATATCTGTCAGTATATCACCAATGTGGGGAAAAACCATTAGACAATGTCAACCTTCATCTATCAAAAGGTACCTCAAGATTGAATCAGGTTAGCATGTCTTGTATACTAGTGAATTGATGTTTAATAATCGTAGTGGTAGTTACGCCACAAGTATATATAATAATCAATGTTATTCTTTCATGGTCACTTTCTTCTAAAAATATGGCAATGTAAAAATGTTAAACCGAGATTTTTAGCATAAAAATCTTTCATATAAAAATGATTTTTGCTTTGGTTTCTATCTAGCCTTCTCTTTTTCAAAAATCTTTTGCTTTTTAGACATTTTCATTAAAACGCGGCAAATCAATTTCTATTAGATTTTATACTTTACTCTTTTATTTTTTGAAAATAGGGTAAATGAAAAACAGATGTTTAGCTTTGAAATTCTCTTTCAAAAATTTTGCTTTAAGATTCTGTGGGGAAATATCAGAGGTCTGTCCAGACATTTTGTGAAACGTTCGTTTTTGTAAAACTGTAAAAAAATTACTCGTAATTTGTGCACATAAGGTCCTGACATACAGGATCATGCTCAACATTGTAATATTAAAAAAATAAACCTCAATTGCTGCTACTAAATTAGAGATGCAACATACAAATATTTGGTATTTAGCTTATACTGCTGAATGCAGGATATTCATTTAGAACGAATAAAGGAAGAAGCATCTGTTGAAGACAAAACTTATTTCGTTTACATCTGGGTTTCTTTCCCCTCCTTTCTGGAAAGGGTTTATTCGATTAACAAAACAATAAAGATCAAATTTGTGAAGGGTCCGATTAAAAGATGAATTGTTTTGTGAAGGGTTCGTTAATGGACACAAATTTCTTCTAAACAGACCCCTGAATATATGCCCTCAAAAAGCAATATTTTGCTTTAAAAATTAAATATTCATATAAGCGATTTGAATTTCCCATATTGTCAGAAATAAATCTGGATATTTAAAAACCATGTGAAAATAAATATAAATAACTGCCGAAAATACAATCGAAACACTACATGGATAGTTATCGGCATAATGTAAGTGTGTCCAAATGTAATTATTTAAATGCACAATTTAAATTCTATGAGTAGAAATAATATTAACTGAGATATAACCGGAATTTTAAAAATTGTGTGGAATTCGGTTGCACTAGCAATAAAAAGTCAAAAAAACGATGAAATGATCACATGAAAAGTAAAAAATTTATTTGAGTTGCTAATTAAATTATATAAAATCGATATTTTTTTCTTTAAATGTGAAAATCTAGCAATAACAGTCTAAAGAACAATTGAAATAAGATATGGATTAACGAGAATATCAATGCAAAACAAGCATTTCAAAGAACGATTTCTTGAACCTGCAATTCGACTTACGCGTTCCGAAACAATATCAGTATATTTTAAAAATTCATGAGAATATAAATAATAACTGAGAAATGAAATTTGAATTCAAAAAAGCAAAGATTCATAGCAATTGCAAAAAAAAAAAAAAAACTAAAACACTACATATATCTATGATGGAATCAACACAAGCTGTGAGCGTAAAAGAGTAAACACAAAAGAGTGGTTTAAAATTTTCATGAGCATAATTCTGTAAAAATATATTGGATCGATTTCATTTTAACCAAATTTAAAAAAAAAAAAAAAGATCTAAAGATTCAGTCAAACTTTATTAAAAAGTAAAACATGGTTAAATTGAAAAATATACATGAATGAAAGAACACGATTTCTAGAAGGAAACTATTTTTTGCGAAAATGCAAATCATGATGCGTAATTTTTAGATCACAATACATAATTTTTTAATCGCGCGATATTACAACAGCAATAATAGATTTTTTTAGCTCTTCTTTTA